GGGCCACCAGGAGGGAAACGCAGTTGAAAACTGGCGATTTCCCCCTGCATGTGAATTAGATGTTATTTTAAACTTTTGTTAAATTTTTTAATAAAAATTTTGCTTACCAGAAAAGTCTTATTTTGGACTTGTTAAAAATAAAAAGACTTGCCGTCTTGTTTTGTGGCCGACCGGACGCGTCCTGCGGAGTGCTTTTGAACGTTGTGCGATCGTCCTGTCTCCAGCGGAACCTTGCGTCGTTTCCATCACACCTGTTCGGCGAAATGGAGGGACGCGTTCTCCGGTAGGGTGGCCATTCGCGTCTATATAAGGGATTGTCTAGAGAGCGTGAGACAATCCCTCAACCGTCCTCTTCTTCTTCTCTCCCTTTGTGTTCCTTGTTACGACTGCTTTCGTTGTTCTGCCACCTTGCTTCGCAGGAAGGGTTCGTTTGATCCTGGGGAGTGCCGCTACCTGTTACATCGAGGGGTTGCGGAATATCTCTCAAGGACAGTGTCTTTGTGACGCGACTCAAACCGACTTTTGCTGTTTTCCTTTGCTGCCGCCAACAAGGAACAACTGCTCCAACTTTAACATCCTCTTCGCCCATGCTTTTGATTAAGAGGATAGAAAATTAAATGCAATGAACTAAGCAACAATCAGCTCATAGGACCATCAAAGTCAATGAAAAATTCATAGGTATCGAGTTTTCCATTTATTACAAAAGGGAATGTGAAACAACAAACACAAATGCCAGACATTACATTACAACAATTAAAATCACCAGCTAAACACAAAAACCATGCAAACCCACATCATACTATTCCATTGGTTAGAAGGGGCTTTTATAGCTAAAAATTGCAGGGGGAAAGAGAAAATAAATTCGCTTTCAAGACGGCATAGCCAACTACAGAATTCACATCAGCTTGTTCGTATTGTCAAAATAAGATGCCCAATGAAGAATTGATAAATTAAAAGGAGAAAAAGTGCAATGAGATTCACAGAGAGATTACGTACTTGAGGTTTCACTGAGTAGAATGGCGGCAGAATGAAATGGTTTTTGTCCCCGCAAAGTCAAAGCTTAAGGAAAATCTTAAATATTCACATCAAGGCTTTCGACTAATTGGGCCGGGTGGAGTCTTATAATTATTTGTAATATTTTGTGATTTGTTATTTTATTGCCAGGTCCATTTGATTGAAGAGGAAAATCAGTCATTGGCCATCAAAGCCCTAAACCCTCCCCTGCCAAAATTCGAAGACTGTTCGAATGCCGACAAATTTAACTGATAACAAAGTAAAGTCTTCTATTTTGGCGTTTATGCCTCGCCAAGTTTTGTTAGGGAGCCAAACGATGAAGCATAGAAGTGATACTAGCGACCGGTCTGATGGAAATATTTCGTTGAATTTAGAGCAGAAAGTTCTTCTTCACCAATCTATAGCTCATTATTTGGAGCTCCATGGCTTCTCAAAGACCCTAAAAAAATTTCGTACCAAAGCACAAATCGAGGTGGGTTTTACTACTCTCGCTGTAAATGTGGGAATTGGCTGAGTTGAACCAATAATAAAGTTTAAATTTTCGATCATGTAATAGAACTGAGAAAAAGGTGGTATTAGGGTGTTCCATTATATCACATCAAAAAAAGAACGTAATACAGAGAAGTTCTTGAAGAATTGAAAATCAATGTTCTAGTAGCGGGTAACATATCCTGCCACAGAACATAACTTAGCGGCCAACCTCTACGACCTTACATTATAGTATTTGGTCTAACATGCTCAAATATGTCTAAAACACAATGCAGTTTTGAAAGATGACAATTTATATCATGTGTTCGGTAGTTTTATTGGCTGGCCATTTTGTTGGTCCCTTGGCATTGGTTTAGTTTCCAGTAATCCAGACACTACTTTGGATCAAACAAGTTGCAGGTCATGGATGATGGCGGTGATTTTTTCCCCTTATTATTTCATTCTAAGCTTTCTTTCAACGTGCTGCGGAGTGGCACTCAAAATATGCTTGCTTTCATATCATGTAGCTCAATTTAAAAATCTGCTGGTCCAACAATCGAGTAGAAGGCGCAACATACATTTATAATATGCCATTTCTTATAGCTCATAATATTACCAATGTGAACATTCGTTTTGAAGCTAAAGCAAAAGGGAATGATCTCTATGCTCAATGGGTTCGTTTTAAATTTCTGAAGTAAACATATGACGTTAAGAAGAAAAGCAACTAATTTTGATAACGGATGATATTTTATGCATGGCATAGAGGAATGTTGTATGTATAGGTTAGTAATATAGGATTTCTGTGCGTAGTTCCCTTTTATTTATGTTTCACTCCTTAGCATTCAGTGTCAAAAAAGCTTGTTTCTTGCTTGTTGCTTCTGTTGGCTAATGTTGTTGTTCCTGCTTGGTGTAGAAAGATATCGCGATGGATCATTAGTTGATCTAGAAGAAATGTGTCTCAAATATTTAAAAATTAGGTATGAGAAGGAAACTCTGCATTGTGTTGTTTAGTAATTGTGAAGTTCGTGATAATTTCAAAATTGATTCTTGAAACTTGAAATGGTAGCATGAATTATAGTTACATGTCTCACTGTACTTTTATTCAAAAGGAATAACAAAAGGAGTCTTGTTTAACCTAGTAACTGCGAACTTATTGTTTATCTGCTGATTTGGCTTTCATGCTCTAGTTTAATGAGCCTCTATATCTCCAGAATTGAACACACATGATTGTTGATTGATTGAGAAGTCATGTGTGACTTTTAGATTACTTAATCAGTGTTTCTCAAGTCGTTTGTCAAAACTTGAAGGGTACAATCAACCTGAAAGTTCTGTTTATTCTCATTGAGGATTTGCCTCTAGCTGTTAGGTACATATCAGTTCTAGAAAGTGCCAATTTCACTTTCCCAATTATTGCTGCATTATTTGGCCTCTTTAAATCTATGCTATTGATTTCAAAGTATTCTTTGTGATTTAATTATCTATTAATTATCCTTTCATTTTTGTTTCCCACTTTTTTCTTTCTCCTTTTGGTAGTGAGGATGTCAAGGCAAATAACAGTAATCAGAAGGGGCAAGGTATGCTTAAAATCCATGTATATATCTGTTTCTGTAGGTTCATGGTCAATTTCTTCCTTTCTCATTGCTTGCCATGCAATCATCTCTCTTTTGCTTCCTAGACTTATAAATTAGATCGTTATATTGGCACTTCTACGTGAGGGGGGCAGATTGATATCCAATCCCACTCAATAAAGTTCAGCGATCCTGATGATGATGAATGACTGCACATACAAACAACTTGGAAAGGAAATTTTGTTTCATTATTGCTATTGGATGCCTTTCACACTGCCTTTTCCTGATCGTGTGGTCGTGAAACAATTCAATTCAGCAAGTAGAGCAATACTATTTCATCTTATTTATTTGGTAACACTGTAAAGTGGCACATCAATGGCATCTTGAACTGTACAAAAATATCTTCAACACAAACCTCTCTTGTAGAGGCTTCTGTTACATATTCATTATGTAGATTGGACGATTAGGGGAACTCTGTGTGTGTGTTAAGGGATTAAATATATATATTAAATCTATTTATATTTATTATTATACTATTTGACGTTTTGATAGGCGCCAATAAACAACACAAAAGCTGAGAAAACGCAAAGGCGAAACCAAAGAATCCTATCGGCTCTATCAATACTGCAGTGATCCCTGAGAGGGAGGCGAGATCCTCGTCTCTAACCCTCTATGTGTTGGTGTTTTTGTTTGGTAACTGTTGCACAATTCGAAGAAGTAAAAAAGAGCACAAAAAATGGTGGTAAGGATTTGATTATCGAGGTTTGGGTACAAGAACAAGCCATTCTATCAAGTCATGGCTACCGATAGCAGATCCCCAAGAGATGGCAAGCACCTCGAAGTTCTAGGTTATTACAATCTCTTACTAGGTTCTCACTTCTCTCTTATTTCCCTTTCTGTTTGGAATTTCCATTTCGGTTTTTGTGTGAGAGAGGTAACTGCAGCATTCTTGTTTCTGTTTGAATTCTGAATTCTGAGAAAGTCGTCACTGTGAGGGAAATTTGAGATTCAAGGCAATTAGATTACCAAATGTTAGTTTGTTGGAAATAAAACTGTACAAGTTATTTGTATCTTTCTAGTAGTCAGAAATCAATAAGTATCTGCACAGAGCTGTTTTTCATATTCAATAGGATAGGTTATGATGTATTGACAGGTGCACGCAATGACACTAGCTCAATCAGATGTTTGCACTTTAAGTTAACCTTCACTTTCAAGTGGGAATGAGAATTTGAGTTATGGATGTCAATAGAATTTTATCAAAAAATGAAATTATAATAGAAAGAGATAGCATACTCAAACCCAAGCAATATCTTTCTTGGTAGCGACAATGTTTGTTCCTTCCTTCTTTTTTGAATTTAGTACACTCTAGCCCCAGAGAATCAAGTGTCTAGTTATATATGTTAGTCTATAATCTGTTCTTTTTATTATTTAGCGATGAGAAAGTTCATAAACGGTTCTAATGATACCAAATTCCTATTTCATTTCCTTTTTTATCCTACTTTTCATTCCATAAAAAAAAAAAAACCCCTCATTTACCGATAGGATTAAGTTTAATAGAAGAAACTCGTCTCCCACAACATGATAAACAAAATTTTCTTGTTTATTAAAAGAAATACTCACATATAATACCTGACAGTGCCTTAAATAAAATTAACTACAATAAAATAAGAAAATATCTATGCATAGAGGGAAAAAAAAAAATCCCCGCCAAGCCCAAAGGTCGGCACTGCCTACTAATTGACATTTCACTGACTAGTCCATTTAAATCTAAAATCTAACGACATATCAAAAATTAAACCCAAAATATCTCATGAACACTCCTTTAGTTTACTTTTGTTTTTAGAATTGCATTCACATTTACACTAAAGATTATCCTCCAAAATGCATCCTCAAGACAGAATCAAAATGCAGTACAGAAATAAGAAAACTAACAAGACGATATTCAGAATATAAGGATTACTAATCAGCTATTTTCCTTGCGGACCAAGCAAAAGTTCCAAAATACAAAAATATCAGGCATTTCACGATTTCATCACCAAGATTAACCATCAATTCACTTCCATAAACCAATCAAAATTCATATCATATCTGAGAAGGTGGAAATGCCATCTGACTTTTTCTCTGGCTTTAGATGACACGTTACAGATTCACAACCCTTTCCCAACAGGCACTTTCAACAAATAAATAGCAATTATTCTCTTCAGTTAACTGGTAAGCCGATTGAAAATACACATTCTCGTAATATACCTAGAATAGAAGGGTCAACAGAATTAGAAAAAAAAAAAAAACACTTAAAAACAACATAGTAAGGTTTTATGGAGTGGGGGTGTCATCTTCACCATCATCTTTATTGCTGTCATCTTTAACTGGCTTCTCTTGACTGAGGATACACCCAGTAAGAGCATCGACAGGGCGTGTATCACGTGATCCGCCTTTACGCCCCATGGCCACCATTGGCGGTGGCGGCAGTAACCCTGCTCGGAATAGTAGACGCTGTACAGGATCTGAAGGTTGGGCTCCAACAGAAAGCCAATACCTGAGAAAGAAGGCAAGAGAAGTTAATGCCGTAAGAATAATAACCTATATTTATGTTCCAAAGCCGGCCAAGGGGGAAAAAAAACATGTATGTTCCAAAGAATTCACTTAGATGAAGTATATTTGGCCAATCATATAGATAAAGATTGGGCTAATAGCCAATCAACTGAAAAAAACCAACATGCTCTTCTTAGCAATCACTTGAATCAACAATGATATGTGTATTGGGAACTAAATAAAAATACTTACTTTACTCTTTCGAAGTTTAGACCCATTCTTTTTGCATTATCTTGCCCTGTATAGAAGCAATGTAAGTTGAAAAGAATTAAATGGTATCATTAGAACCGTCTATGAACTTTCTCATCGCTAAATAATAAAGAGAACACATTATAGACTAACATATATAACTAGACACTTGCAGCAATTCTCTGGGACTAGAGTGTACTAAATTTAAAAAAGGAGAAAGGAACAGACATTGTCGCCACCAAGAAAGATATTGCCTGGGTTTGAGTATGCTATCTCTTTCCATTACAATTTCATTTTTTGATAAAATTCTATTGGCATTCATAACTCAGATTCTCATTCCCACTTGAAAGTGAAGGTTAACCCTATCAATACATCATAACCTATCCTAGTGGATACAAAAAATTCTGACCACTAGAAAGATACAAATAACTCGTAAAGTTTTATTTTCAGCAACGAATTTCTCTTCCTTTCTCACACTTTCTCAGAATCTATATACATAATAAATAAAAATCAAAAGCAAGCCGAGCCAATTTCCTATCCATAATGACTCCTCACTTATTTTCCTGTGCCATGAACAGTAATGGCTAAGTGAACAGTATCGGCTATTGCATGTGGCTCTGTGCTAGAATGAATTTCTTTGGTTTTAATTTTCTGATTTTCTCTCTCTTATTTCGTAGGAAAGGGTAAATATTGTCTCATCTCATCATATTTTTCAGTCCTTATAAAGAGTGTGTCAGCTCTTTTACACTTACTACATCTACTCATCTTAATATTTTCCCGTTTCAAATTCAAAATTGTTTCCTTTCCCCCTCATTTTCTTCTTTTCTTCACCAAACCTAACAAGGGAGGGGGGAGGAAATTTTCTGCATGAGTAATCTTTTTTGCATAGATGGGATAGGATTTCGCATATAACTTTCTCCCTCTCTTCTACATCGCTGGAAAAGAGGAGAATTAGTGGCTGTAAGAAGCTCCCTCTTTCAATCCAAGGATGCGAGGAGGCCAAGAATTTTAAGATCAACAGAGAGATCCGTTTCCTTCTTACACATCAGGTATGAATCTCCATAGGGTAAGGTCCTGTTTTTCTCATTAGAATCACTACATCATGTACATATCTTCATCTCTGTATTGGCTATTGTACATGCCATGTTTTGTGTCACCACACTGCTGCTTGGAGGCGCAATTACGTATCCATAATTTGGGCAAATATGATATTGTATTGCAATAATTCATTTTCAAGGACCTTATAACAATTCTGCTAAATGTTGTTTTATCTTTCATACTTCCTTTATTGTGTTCCACAGCTGGGATGCATATTGGTTAGTCTTTAATTATCTACCTGAGTTCATATCTAGCAGAATGTGGATGTCATAATTTTTTTAATCCTCTTTTTAAGTATAAGTTTGAGGCTATCATCTTCACTAGACTGCTAAAGGTATTGAGTATGGTATTGGGTAATATCTGCAAGGCAATATGTTAATTACTAAAGTTCATTTTCTTGGCAGTTGGCGATGTGCAGCTTTCCTGTGAGTTTCGTGTAAGAAAAAGATTTGTCCCATACCTTTTTATTCAGAGTTGACGTTAAGCAAAACCAATAGGTTTATCCTCAATTGAGGATAAGGTAATTATCAAAACTCAATGGTACTTACTCACTGGTTCCAATGTTGAACTTGGCAGTTGAAGGGAAGGGAGAAAGTGCAAATACAAAGCGAAACAAAGGATGGTCCTTGGTGTTCTTAGGCTGTGATTTCGAATTAAGACATCCATTGAATCAAGTTCTCCCTCTTGTCCATTTTGGCTCATTTCTCCCTTCTTTTTCTCATCATATATGAACGATAGACCAATGGATGTGAACAAAGTTGTTTTGTCCATAGTTTCAAATAGCTAAAAGTCACAAGCCAAAAACCATTACTAAAAACACAGTTGTTTTGTGGGGTTGAAATAATGAACGATGGGATCTCTAACTTCTTGCTCTAATTTCAGTATGGTAGAGTTGGAAATGGACAGCTTTCTTGGGGGATGTATTGAAGCAGAAATTTTTCTATACCTATTTCGTGAATCATGAAGTTTACCTAACTTTGCAACTTTGTTATTGACAAAACACAGTAGTTATTTATACAGTGGTCAAATGCGCTTTAGATGCAAGGGAAGATTTCAAGTGAAAAAATGCATAACAAGAATGCAAGTGAAAATAAGTGGTGCAGGGAGATTTATTTTGATATTTCTTTTAAACTGGTTAATTAATAGAACTCCTTTTTGATGGCTTTTATAGTTGGTATCTATATTTATTTTCCTCCATTTTGAATGTTTTACCTATTGGGCTAAATAATTCTTATGCTTTTATAGTTGGTATCTATATTTATTTTCCTCCATTTTGAATGTTTTACCTATTGGGCTAAATAATTCTTATGTCTCAAATATCACACGTTATCCAGATTCTTATGTTATAGAGTCACAATTCAGGAAGATATTAATAAATAAAAATAGATCCTTACACCAAATACAAGTAAATGAAAATATTGAACAAATAAATGATCCTCACACCAGATACTGCTAGGTACTATTTGAATTTGAACCAAATACTGTTTGAAAAGAAAATATGGTGCAAGGGAGCAGAATCTTATCTTCCATTATTAAAAAGACCGGTTTAACCAATTTAAAGACAGTCGGACTGAGTGTTTTGCTTCATGGCTAATTTTGTGGTTCAGATACTACTAAGAAAATTAAGGCCACAAACCATACATATAATACATGTTAAGCTTAATGAAAGCATTAAAGTAAATTCATCCCGTGCATCGCACGGGGAGAGGAAACTCTAGTTCAAACAGAAAAAAGAATGCTGCGGTTAGCGAAATCCGATCACTCCAGCTAAAAACGAAACCTCCCTCACACAGACACCGAAATGGCAATTCCAAACAAAAAGGGGGAATAAGAGAGAAGTGAGAACCTGGTAAGGGATTGTAATAACCTAGAACTTCAAGGTGCTTGCCATCTCTCGGGGATCTGCTATCGGCAGCCATGACCCGATAGAATGGCTTGTTCTTGCACCCAAATCTTGATAATCGAATCCTTACCACCATTTTTCGTGCTCTGTTTTACTTCTTCAAATTGTGCAGGGTTGGCGACGAGGCAGGGCTGTTGGCGACGAGGCAGGGCTGGCGACGACGCGACGAGGATCCCGCCTCTCTCTCAGAGATCACTTCAGCATTCACAGAGCCGAGCCGATAGGGTTTTGAGTTTTCCTTAGACGCGGCTTCTCTCCTTCTCCCTCACCATCCGCCGCCCTCCTCTACCTTTGATACTGCGCCGTTTTGAGTGAAAGCCAGGGGTGAGTGCCCTTTTTTTTTTTTTTTTCAAATCTAATACCTTAAAAATACTTTTCCAGTGTCAATCCTAAATTAATTTTTTTTGACCAGCAACAATCCTAAATTAATTGTTAATGCACTCAGCAAGGTAAAATATTTTTTTTTAGCAACACTCAATATTTAACACCCAGCGTTTTAAGATGTTTCTTAGTAACACTTGGTATTGTAAAATAATTTTTGGTCCACTTAGTAGGTTAAAATATTTTTTTTAGTAACATCTTTTATGCAATATCCAACATGCTGCGGTACTTTTAGAAGTATCAAGTATCTTGAACTAAATTTTAGTGACCATAAAATATTATATGAAAAATTACTTTAAGATACTAAATACTATTAAAAAATATTTTAAGATGTTGGATATATTAAATATTAATTTATGATATTAGGTGTTATTAGAAAAATACTGTAATACGATGGATATTACTGAAAAATTTTTGGGATTTGGATGCTATTAAAAAATACTTTAGGATACTAAAGTTAGATATTGAGTACTATTAGAAAAATTTTTAGAGTGGTAAGTGTATTAAAAATTCATTTAGGATACTCAATAATACTGAAAATTTTTTTATGGTAGTGAATTTTTTTAAAATATAGAAAAGCACTCACTCTCCCTTGTTTTTCACTCAAAACGCTGCAGCTTTTGACGGTAGAGGAGGGGGGCGGATGCCAAGGGAAAAGGATAGAAGCAGCATCCGTTTTCCTTTCCGTTCACTCAGTTTTGTATCATTTATTTATTTTTATTTTTTTTGAGTAAAAGGGGAAAATGTATTAATAGCAAATATTTACAAAGACAAGGTCAACTAGGCAGTAGAGTTGCCAGGATTAAGTTGCTCTTCTGCCTTAATGACGTACTGGTTTAAGTTTTGAGATGAGTAAATAATAGAATCAGGGGTTGAGGGTTCATTACAAGAAATAGTCCTATTTCTATTATCCCAAAGTTTCCAAATTAGAATTCCCTTTTTATCATTTATTAGAAGCTATTAAAATGACAATCAAAGAATACAATGATAAATGTCAACAGATTAAAGTATATATTTAGTTTTTTAAGTTTATATAAAATTTTAATTTAATTCGTTTATTTTAAAAAACATACATTTGGTCCTTCAATCCTAAAATTATTATTTTTAAATGATTATTTTTTATAATAGTGATGATTGTTCTGAAAATTAAAATTTAATAATATTTTATCAACATTTAATATATAAATAGTATCATTTTTTGTTAATAATTTGAGGGGTAATATTAAAAGACTAAATGTATACTTTAACATATATAAATAAGAAAACTGAAACCCATACCAAAACTCCAAGGGAAAATTATAATTAAGTTTCAAAAAAAAAAATACTAACAAGTCTTAATAATAACTTAAGCAGCATGTGATGACGAGTTTCTGAGTTGGCAACATTTTTTTTTGTAAATTTTCTTGTACATAAAGATTGCGGGTCTAACTCTACGTATGTGCATGTCCTTCTAATTGAAAAAATATCAATATTCAACAAATATAATGCTTTGTTAAACAAAAAAAATTATATATAATGTAAATGTGTGCTCCTATTTTACGAGTCATAGTGTTGAATCACTAAGAAATATCATTATGTGTATTAAATTAATATAAAATCACAATATTTATCTGTAATAAACACAACTTATCTCAAAATCTATATGAACATATGGAAATCACACTAGTTAGCTGGTAAAAATAATAAAATTATAATGCTCATAATATAAGATTGCAAATGGCAATCTCAACAAATGTTTTTCTACTTGCATACAGATATCCGCCTATTAGAATACTATAATTATAATTATCAATTTCAAAAGGATCATTGTTCTGGAGAATCAAAATGTTAATAATTCCCCTACAATAAAAAGTGACAAGCATCAACTCCCAAACAAAAAATGTTATCTTTCTCCCCTTAAGTTGGATTTTAATGAGTAAAAAATAAAGACAAGATGTATGAGTCAGCAAATGACTCATAGATTGTCTCATAATTTTCCTTTTCTCTTGGCCCCTGTTCACATAAATTTAATCTCTCCTCTTTTTGCAGCAAGATTCTCGTTCCTACTCATCCAATTATCATTTGACTCGTTTTAACATTTAATGTATATTTACAACATTTTTCTATCCAATAACAAAGCAATCAACGTCAACTTCACTTTCAGAAAGACGATGAGTATAATGTCAGCACCAAGCTTTTTGACTTACCGGGCAGCAGCACAAAGCGGCTTTCATTGTATTGTATCATATCACATCTCCTTTTCATTGGAATCTTGGGAGGATCTGTTGAACAGTAGCAAAACTAACGCCTCTTTTTTGTCTCTTGAAAAATTCAAAACAAGCAGAATACTTTGTTTTCCTTGCCATGACAAAATGCTTACGCGCGCAGGCGTGTGTGCAATAAAAGCACTTGAATAGTTAAAAGTTGGATGTTTCTTGGGCTTAATCATACTGGCTTCATAGATAACCAAGCCCAAACTGAGAAAATGCTAAGAAGATTGACTTGACAATATTAATATGAATCTATCCATGTGTTCATGTACTTTTTGTTACCAAGCATCCCATTCATTTGATTTGACATTTATAGTATGAAACACACACACAGAGTTCCCCTAGCCCTCCAATCTACATAATGAATATGTGGCAGAAGCCTCTACAAGAGAGGTTTGTGTTGAAGATATTTTTGTACAGTTCAAGATGCTATTGATGTGCCACTTTACAGTGTTACCAAATAAATAAGATGAAATAGTATTGCTCTACGTGCTGAATTGAATTGTTTCACGACCACACGATTAGGAAAAGGCAGTGTGAAAGGCATCCAATAGCAATAATGAAACAAAATTTCCTTCCCAAGTTGTTTGTATGTGCAGTCATTCATCATCATCAGAATCGCTGAAATTTATTGAGTGGGATTGGATATCAATTTGCCCCCCTTTGTATGTCCCACGTTTTTTCTTGGTCTTCTCATGACGAAAGTCCCTGTGCGAGTCAATAACAGGTACAAAGGAAATTCAGACTGAAGAAAAAGTTATTGTTATTCAAATCAATTCATAAGTATCTTACATCCGCCACACTTACCTTCCCCTAACTTGGCCAAGAATTTCCTCTGCTTTTGCGCCATAACCGCTCTCCGCTCCATCCTGAAGACATACATCATCACATAATTGTATTAAAATACATAGCAGACAGTGGAAAGGGTATCAGGTTATTATACCTTTGCCCAGTAAGAGTTATCCTGAATTCTCTCATCAGCAAATACTACTTCATCGGCCTTTACTCGTTGAAATGCCTTCCCTACTTTTGGCTGAAATTAAAGGTATCAGAACCAATTATAATAAACATCTAGCTTCAGCAGTGCTATTGGAATTAAAAATTCTATTGAAATGACAAGCAGCGATGTGAAAGACCTCTATCAAGACAAGGAAATAAAATTATACTCTAGTAAGGGAAGAGAACAGAGGACATCTATGCAAAAAGTAGTGGGATTTATGATAAATCTTTAGCTCCAGCTGTGTTACTGGAATCACACATATGAAAAGAAAATTGAACAAATGAAGCATCTTATAATGAAGGAGAAAAGATCTGAAAACATCAATACAAACAAATAGGGATTTATGGTATTAAACAGTTTCAATTGAACATAAACCAACAATTTTTTTTTTCAGTAGGCCAAAATTCCATTCTGGGATTAAAACTGTGGTGTCATGATGAGAACCAAGCCTCAGCTACACCAAGCCAATTTTTTCAAACTAGCAAAGTTCATCCCCTATAAGGAGAATTTTCCTAGGGAAGAGATCAGTTGAAAACAAGCTAACCTCATTAGTTGAGAACAATGACAAAAAATCAATGTAATTCCACGTTAAAAGTAAAAGTAGGATGTATTACTAATCTTCGTGCGTGTTTCATGCATCAGTTCTGTACACATGAAGAGCGTAAATATAATACCTCAACTGATCCCTTTTGTTGTTTCTTTTGAGGCCTCTGGACGGAAGATCTCTCTCCAGTATTCCCAAGGTCCCCATTTATCTACTCATCAGAAATTAAATCAATGTTCAGGTTTTCATTCATCTTTGATGATTGCTGGCCTCTGTTAAATTCATTTAAATTTTCAATCTTTCTGTATTTGGGTTCCACATCTGCCTTTCCATCCACAGGCAATACATCATTTTCTTCAGATGTCGGTCTTCTCTTTTTAGAATCTTTCTTCTTCTTGCCCGTCGCATCATCATTTGCTGTATTGAAACTATCCTTCTTAGAATCATTTTCAATATGATCTCCAATCTGAAGCCCTTCTACATTCCCATCACTGCTTGATTTGTTTCTCCTTTTCTTTTTATCCTTGGATTGCTTCTCCATCTCACCATTGACAGTTTTGGCATCTGAAGATGCATTGTCCCTTAACTTGACTTCTGTCACCATAGGTATGGATTCAAATTGGCCATCATTCCCGTCACTACTTGATTTGTCTTTCTTTTTCCTTTTATCCTTCGATCGCTTCTTCGTCTCATCAATCATAGTTTTAGCTTCTGCAGATTCATCAATTGCATTATAAAGAGATTCAGAAGCCCACTTCTTCTTCTTGTGCACCTTTTATCATTATCCTGCAATATATTCACAAAATCTTCTTAGCAAGCTCCTTCATTCCTAGCTCCCACTGGTAATTTGTTCAGATCCCTTACGACAAAAGTTAGAATTTAGTTTTCTTTACCTTGTCTTCAGAAGTTACTTTCGATTCAGGGCCTAAGCCATTTGTTAATGCCTCAAAGTTCTCTACACCACAAAGTCCTTCATAGGCTCCAGATTGATTAACACCAGCATCACTGTCACTCTACTCAGTTTTCTTTTTCTTTTTCTTACTTTTGTTTTCCATGTCAACTATCAAATTATCCTCTCCATCTTGGAGTGCTTGCCTGCAACTAGCACGTAGAAGTGCCAATACAACGATCTAATTTATAAGTCTAGGAAGCAAAAGAGTGATGATTGAATGGCAAGCAATGAGAAAGGAAGAAATTGACCATGAACCTACAGAAACAGATATATACATGGATTTCAAGCATACCTTGCCCCTTCTGATTATAATTAAGTTACTTGTAGAATAATTAATAATTATTGAGCTTTTGTAATTTAAACCTTATTGACTTAATAAATGCAAAAAGAGATAAAATAAACCAGTGGAAACAAATAAAATTTATGTTTAATACCGATTTCTTTATTAAGGGCAAGTGCAAAAAATTATTAATTTAATGCATTTTTTGGTTTGTGTAGTTGGGGTGCAAGTGGAACAAAGTAATATAATATAGTATTATACCACTCTATTCCTATTTATATTTGTAGCAGAAAATTTTATTTCTAATTAAATATAAGTCACTTGTAAGGTAATTAATGAGCTTTCTGTTGATTTAATAAATACATTGAAAGATAAAATAAATAGATAAAAAATATAAACACAAGTTTAGTATCATTTATCTAATAAGGGCACATGTGGAAAAAAAAATCAAATTAATACATTTTTTGATTTGGTAAATAGGTTAGAGTGACATTATTGAAATGCATAATCAAACTACTGTGAGTTTTCTACCCTATCTTTTTTTAAGAAATTCGATTACACAACCTTGAGGTTACACAAACTATAGCCTAAGAACAGAAAAATCAACTACTTATAATTAACGAAAGGGATAATTAATCCACAGCTCCTTATAGTTTCAACTAATTTTGAATCAGGTCCTTATAATTTTTTTTCTTTTTATCAGGTCCTTATACTTTCACCTGTTTTTAATTAGGTTCTTGTATTTATTTTTCTTTTTATCAAGTCCTTATAAGTTCACCTTATTTTTAATTACGTCCCTGAATTTTTTATTTTTTATTTTATAAATTCTAATAGTACTATTATATAAACATAAAATAGTATGTATTATTTAATATTAGTTTATAAACAATAACATTATAAAGATATTGAATTATTATAATGATTTTAATTTTTTCAGCAAAAAAATTAATTGTTCTAAAAAATTTTCCTGAATTAATTAATTCTATTACTTTTTTATTACATAATTATTAATTTAATTTAATTATTAATATTTTATATTTCAATATTAATCTATTTAATTAAGCTTATATTTAATTAATAAATAAAAATTAAAACTACATGGACCTGATTAAAAATTTAGTGAAATTATAAGGACTTAATTAAAAGAAAAATAAATACAAGGACCTAATTAAAAAAAAGGTAAAAGTATAAGGACCTGATAAAAAGAAAAAAAATTATAAGGACCTGATTCAAAATTCATTAAAACTATAAAGACTTGCGGATTAATTAACCCGTTATAACAGTGTGAGGGCCAAGTCCATATCCATTTGCGTCAGAAAGCTTAAGTAAAATAGTAATACCGTATATATTCGTTTTCTGGTGAAACACTATTCTAGATGCCAACGTTTTGTCATTTTATTTACCTATTCTTGCCAATATTTCAACCGGGTCATCATTGTGTTAGTTTGAAAGAATTGAAGCTTGATTCATTCCATTGAATCCATTAGTCAATTTATTCGTTTAATTTATTTAATGAATTAATTAATAATTTATTACATATATATTGGCAGATCGATGTATTTCTTAATTATTCACTAATTTCCTAAGTACAAAATTAGAAAAAGTAACTCTAAAAATTCAAGATCTCAGAACAGTTTTGGTTATAAAGATTGTGTTATCATTACACTTTAAGTAGGTCTTTTTTTTTTAAAAAATTAAAGTCTCATGAACTACTTTGTTTTGGAATTTTAACGTTCATACTTATTTCAGCTAAAAAAAAATTCATACTTATTTTTGTGAAATTCTCTGTTAAATAAATACAATTAGTTGTGACCATATATATGACACATTCTTTTCTATATATGTCGATTCAGTTACTTACCAGAAAGGAATACATGACATATGTAGTCCAAATGGACCGTCTTATCATAATATATCATAATCGTAACACATTAAATTGTAGAACTGGAACTCTCATTATATATGGTAGAAGGAAGTTGGAACACACAGATGCTTTATAAGTTGCTTAAGTTAATTGCAGATACTTAATCATAACAGTACATCATAAATCATAAATCATAAATCATAAATTAAATATTATTCATCGGGTGAAATAATGATGCTCTGGACGAACTCTTCATCCTCCTGTTCACTCGTATAATTGTCACTGCGATTAACTAAAATGCTTACAAAATAATCTGCATTGAAGTTTCTATGGATGGGGAAGATTTTCATGTAAGATTTATCAAATAGGTTCTGGATGACCAGTGGCTGATGGAGGGCTTCTGGTATCTTCAGCCTTAGTGCGATATCTTCACAATAGACGCTTGTGAAGAAGAACAGAATGTCGTTGAAATCGTAGCATTCAGCCAAATCCCATTCGATATAAAAAAACTCTTGCTGCCTTATTAAACCATATATGCATCTAAACAATACATATCATGGATGATACCAATTGAATGATCCCACCTCAGTGACACCTGTTTCTGAAGTGTTGAAGGTGACTCTGAAATAAGCAACGTCCAAGACGCCGACAACTTCCAAAGGACTGCAAGTGATTCGAAGAAAGCGGACTCCATAGGTTCTCCACGTCATAAGCAAGTGATGGATCTTATGAACAGTAAATACTTGAAATCTAGCCATCTTTCAAGTTACCTTATTCAGATTTTGGGTGAATATTGCAATGAATTGATTGTCCTAGCCAGTGTAATATACAACCAAATCTGCAACTTAGACGTGAAAGACAAATGCGACGCTCAGATTCATAAATGTGTTAGTTGTGTTTACCTAATATCATAGGTTTATGTGCCAATACAATGATTTGCATTCACTTCAGTAACCAATTGAAAATTTGATTAGTTGATATTCGATAATCTCAGCATCTGATTAATTGATTAATCGGTAACTGATGTGATGTGTCATGAATTCGTATTCTGGCATAGCAATTAGTTAGACCACTGTTATTTACTGCATCAGAAGGCCTGATGTCTAATAATTTATTTGTACTCTACATGTTATTTGTTTTTATCTTTACAGTATCCTCTATTTTTATTCAGTCACTGGATTGGTGAAAATAGATTTTCTATTCATAGTTCCAAGCTTTGACTATGTTGTCAGGCTAGAATTGTTTTTGTGACCTAGAAGACTGTCATATTTCATTAATTCCCTTATTCTATTAGGTGATATTTGATATTGTTGAAGTACATTGAACATTATTTCCTTTAACATGTTCAATCTGTGCTGCTTTATTGATGTGACAATTCTTTTTTTTTCCCTCTACGATTAATTTAATTTATTTGTATTCTATATGTTATCTGTTTTTCTCTGGCTTTCACTGTGATGTTTTGCGTTTAGAAAACATCTATCTACTGTGGACAAACCTATTCATTTGTCAGCTTTTTTAAAATTTGTATACTTCTGATGGATAGTAAAAAGCTGTAAAGGCTGAACAAATGCTTTCTACATGTTACTGCTGTTTATGGCTTTTTTTTGTCAGTGGGGAGGCATATTCACTAGAAGATGATAATTGGTAGATCCTATGAACAAGTGTAAATGTGCAATGAACTTCATAGGCAATATTTAACGTGTAAGAAAATGGAAAACTTGGAACCCGGCTCTGCAGTCAATGACGTTGATTCCAAGATTGCTGTTGTTCCATATTGGGTGAGCAAGTATTTAAAGATTGTTCTATCTGTCCTCAGAAAAAAGTTCCATTTCAGCTATATCTAAATAGTAGGGCTTATGCATACACGGATGATGCATCAATTCATTATGTCATAGTTTCATTTCTATCATTTACGTAGTCATCTCGATATGCTAAATAACATAAAATCTCTTAACATGCATGGCAAGGCAACGATTTGTTTAGTCTCACTAAACCTTTCTAATAGTCTTCTTTCTTGTCTCATTATTTAACGTGAAGATTATTCCATGCATATGTATCTATTATCGAGCTACCATATTGCTAATGAGGTATAACCTCTAATTCTGATGATCCAGTGTTTTGGATATTACAACTTAAGCTTATATAAAATTATTCAATATAATAAAATCCCTCAACTTGACTTTTGATTTTTAAATTTTAATTATTCAATAATAGAAAATAGAAAAAATTATCTAATGTTGCGAAAGTTTGACAGACAGTCAAAAAAATAAGAGTTTGATGGGACAATTCAAATTGACTTAATTTATTTGTTATTTTGAGTACATGCATGTTGTATGTCATCTGTTTCTCTGTGGCTTCTCTGCCATGCTCTGCTTCCAAATAGCATCTTTAACTTGTGGACACACATTAATTTGACATTTTTTTATAAAAAATTGTATACTTAAAATCCATGGTTAAAAACTGTATGGGCTGAACAAAAGCTTTCTAGATGTAGGTGCTGTTTCATGGTTTTTATTGTCAGTAAGTAGGCATATTCACTGGAAGATGATAATTCGTAGACCCTATAAACATCTGTAAGAGTGGAATGACCCTTACAGGCAATATGCTTAAATATCAGAGTAAGATGTCAGAAGGATCCCACTCTGCTTTCAATGACATTGCTTCTAAGGCTTCTCTTCCTGTATATTGTGATTGTAAGTATTTTCTTTTTTTGACCGGATGTGATTGTAAGTATTTAAAGATGATTTCACATGTCGTCAGAAAAAAGTTCTGTTTCAGCTAAGTCTAAAGTGTAGTACTTACACGTACATGGATGATGCATGGATTCCTTGTATCATCATTCCCTCTTTATCATTTGCACAGTGAATTGGCTATTCTAATGTCATTTAAACCTATGAACATGCATCACTCATTAGCGATTTCTTTATTCTCTAAATTTATTGCTATTATGAAATCTAAATACCAATGCACTATATTGCCCCATACAGATGTAGGTCCTTTTACAATGGTTTGCTCTCCAATAAAAACTTTCACCTATGGACATACCCGCCAGCTTTGTAAAAAGTGTATAGTTATTATCGATGGGTAAAGTCTGTAAAGACACTATTTATAGCTTCCTAAGTGTATTAGCTATTCATGGCTTTTATTGTCAGTGGGCGGCCACATTTATTGAAAGGTGGTATTTAGTACAACATGTTTTCTTTTACCTCACAGGCATCATGATTAAATATAGAAAACTACCCAACCTTTATACCTGGATCTGCTGTCAATGACGTTGCTTCCAAGATTCCTATTATTTCATATTGGGTGATGTATGACGGATGATGGGTGTTGTAACATCACCACTTACTAACCAGAACTAACCATGATAGAAAGGACTAAAACTAGTAAACATACCCTATCATGGTTATTTAAGAGCAATCACATCAATAAGGGGCTAACCATGATAGAAAAAACATTCGACCTTAATTAAGACTATCATGGTTAGAAAAAGAATAACCTATATTTGTAATCATGGCAAACATGGTTATAAAACAATACACCTCTGAATGATAAATTATAATAGCAGTTTAGATTTGACTATATTTGTCAATACTAGCAACAACTAAACTTGCAAACATTGCCATTATCACATCATGGATCCACAATAATTCAATCACATGCAATCTAAGGGCCTCGGGCCCACTACCAGCACTCTAGTCTAATGTTCAGACAAAATAAACCAAAGATAGAAGGTATAATACGTTCACTAAGTCAAACGACATAAAAATATGAGAAGGTAAAATAAGTCCCAAATGAATGCAGTCCTGATGTGTGGCAATATATGAAAAGATTGCATAAATAAGGTCCAAAAGCTCTACACTGTCAACTACAGCTATTGAGCCTCAGGAGTCTTCCTCGAAGGTCCCGCTAACATATTGTTTCCTGAAAATGGTAAAGCAACAAGAGTGAGACAACGTCTCAATAACTAAATCCCCACCTATCACACACCCTAGCATGGGCTAGCGAGGCGTCAGGTGGGATGCACAGAGTTAATAATAGTTTATAGACATCTATTTAACATTTAAACTCACAATAATCATATAAGAAAAATATTTCCACTAATTTCATGCAGTTGATACATTTTAAAAGAAATAACATACTGTTTATTTATTTATTTAAAAGATATAAATATCAATGAACATCCTATGTCATATGCAATTCTTGAATCCAAATCCATCCTTATATCCTCCTTATTTCTGCCGACTGGACGCATAAGCTAAGTTCTTTCCATTTAACTGGCAACTCTGACGAGCTCACCATACGAATGATGTGGACTGGCCAAAGACCACAGAGCACTCGGTGGACCATGGGTCCTCCCTCGAAGAACTAATGGGGTGTCACAATCCCTCGAAGAACTAGTGGGACAACAATAGCGGCCAACCATAAAGCTCCATATGGAGGCCAATACCACGTGGCAAGTCTATGAATCTCAATAACTCTAATTATCTCCTTTCCCCACCCAAAATAAATACACAAGGTTTAAAATGACATATTTATATGCATAATCAACAGAATTTCGTAATAACACATCATAATCATGATTACCAATTTCTTACAATACAAACTATGTCAATCCTTTTTAAAATAGCATCCCACAAGACAATTCATACAAAACATAATATACTTTTAGAGAGTTAGTTATAAAGCCGCTCACCAACTTCATACTAGAGTATGCAACAGATAGAAATTTAGTTACCTGGTCTCCTAGCTAACAGTCAACTACAACTAAAGTCCGACCTCAAAAATGCCACAATAGAGTTTATGTCTACAAACAAAATTAAAATATTATCTCTATATATTAAAGTAGGCTACTCACAAAATTCTAACCTCTAACTCCTCCTCTAAAAGCTTTAATTTTTACTCAGAATTCTAGCCTAAAAGACATTTCTCTAAGGTTTGGAATGAGAACATATACATATATATGATTTAGACTCAATTCCTAAATTTTCCTTACTTAAATATCCTTTAATTATTAGATTATATTATTAGAATCATCAAATTCATAATGTAAATAGACAAACTGTAAATTTATAACTTATATTCCATCTTCGAAGGATTTAGACAAATAGACTTAGTATGAACCAGGTTATTCTCGCTACAAAAGTTAAACCCTTAATCTAACCATTGAATTTAATTTCCTATCTATCATGATACTATCCTCCAAATTATAGCTCAATCTAATGGTGAATGAACTTTAAAATGCTAATTTACTATTCAGGACTCTATCTGCTAAATCTAAAAGATATAAGTTAAAAACATACCTAATAACTTGTAATTCAGAGATCAAAATGATGATCCAACCATTGAAATTGTCCCAAATGGGTTGACCAAATTTTAGTCTGATCCAACGGTTAATAAACTCAAAACTAGCACTTTTCTGAGACTACCTCAGATATGTGCGAAAATTATTTACTCACTTCAAGAACTCCTTCACTCTAAAGATTAGTCGATGTGGGACTTCTATACCATGGTATAATTTTCTAAAATATCACCCATACACACACACACACTCACACACAAAAACATTATTAAAATAATAATAATAATAATTTGCCTATATCTAACTTTTTTTATTAACTTAATACTAAAATATATTTATTTATAAATTTAATTAGATACTAGATAAAAATAAGGATGTTACAGGTGTTCCATTGGTATCCTTTACGTAGTCATTTCGATCTTATATCATAAAATATCTCAACATGCATCATGCGTTAGCAATTTGTTTAGTCCATAGATATATTGCTTCCATATATCCACTCTAATTTCTTTTAATTATCTGTTGTATTCTCCCATTATTTAAGGTGACTTCTGACCTCTGATTTTGATGAGAGATATGATAGTTTTTAGTTTATATCAGTGCAAGGGAATGAATCGTCCTCAGTATAAAAGATTCCTGCTCTACTGCGAAGGTATCTCCCCTGTATTAGTCGCCCTATTGACACACACGCACGCACACACATATATCTCTAAAGTTGTTGACTCATTTTATTCGCAGCTTAAATTGGGTAATCTTTGGTTCTTCAGAATGGTCTGCTGTTATGTATTTTTCTGTTTAACCATCATTGAAATGGCAATACACTATTCACTAACCATCGATTGTAAGTCATCTGAAAAAGATAGCTTTGCAGTTATAGATTTTTTAGATTTTTAGATTTTAGATTTTAGATATAATAGTTTAAATTCAATTCAAATCAAATCAATCAAATTCAATTCAAATTCAGCTTCTAAATCAAATCACGTAAACAAGGGCTGTTATTCTGTAAAAAAAAAAAATTCTTTCATCATTCGTCACCCAATCCCCATCTTAAAAAAATAGTTCCCGCCTTTATGCTCACTTTTCTTTTCTTCCAATTCCACTATAAGTACTCTGCTATGTTCTTCCATGCGTTACACTTATTCTCTTTTAACATCTTCAGCTTCACACAGTTCTTCCCCACGAAAGCCATAATGAGTCAGTTCTCAATGCTCAAAAATTTGCATGATGGCACTGATAGATGGCAGATACTTGTGACTATTTTCAAGAAATGGAACGTCTTCCATAAGCAAGCCCCTAATGAAATTTTATGTGTTTCCTTACTTTTGGTCGATGAGGAGGTCCTCTGTATTCATGCTTCCACATATGTCTTCCCATTTCTAAATTTTTAGTTTGTTTACTTACATAAACTATGTTGTCATTAACAGGGTAGTACGATTCAAGCAAGTGTCCTCAATAAGAACTTGCATGCACGTTTTCAACACAACATCATTGAAGGTCAGAGCTACTTATTTGCTAACTTTGTTGACACCCCAAACGTTAGCCAATACAGAGCTACCAATACTCCTTACAAGATTACTATCACTCCCCATACATATGTTGTCGATAGAATTACATCAACACCATTGTACTCCTACTCATTTTACCCTCTTCATCACATAAAGGAGTCTAATGAGAAGAACGCAGTTACCCACTTGATCGGTATGAACCATGGTCAATTTAATAAATCATTCTTTTTCTTCAATGTTGCTTTCAAATTTGTGGGAAGTCCTTATGTGTTGTTTTTTCCTCACTAATTCATTATTTACTATTTTTTGTCTATTGAATAGATGTTCTTGCTTTTGTTAAGTCAATAGGTACCCTTAAAGAGTTCCACAAGGATAAGGAAGACAAGCATAGGTTGCGTATGTTGCTGATTGATGAGGAGTCAAGTCTAAAGTCTTTATTCCTTCCTTTTGTATAGTTTTATTATTTTGATTAATTTTATTAACTATTATTTTTATAAATCTATTAATTTATTAATTACTAATTATTTATTTTGTCATTATAATATTGTATGGGTCAATTTCATGTGCACTATTACAAAGGTGATGAGTAGTTAATGCTTAACCGGTATACTTATGCGTTGACAGTGAAAATGAAGTTGAGTGCCTGTTGTATGATAACTGTGCTGTAGATGCTTACATGGCTCAGACGCAAAACAACAACTCTCCTGTTGTTGCATTGTTGAATCTTGTAAGGGTTGGTTTCTTAGAAGAAGGTATAACTTCCTACTCAAATTATATTCCATTATATTCCTATATAATGTACATCGTATCTTATAGTTAACATGCATTAATATATATTTGTACGATGTTGTAGGCAAGCCTCAAGTGTATAGTTCATTCAATGCTACGAGGGTTTTATTTAATCCACCTATCAAGGATGTCAAACAATTCATTGATACTTTTGCTATTTGCAATGGTTACCATGTTGTTCATGTTATTTAAAGTATTTAATATATCTTAATTATTGATTTCGACTATTGATGGGTTGACATGTAGTGCAGCGCAAAAAGGTTCACCTATGATGGGCATTCTGAGTCAGTCCATGCCATCTCAGCTATCTCACACATCCCGTTCAAGCAACCCCCACAGACACAAAAGGATTTCTATAGCTGATGTAGTGAACCAGCCCGTTGTAAGTACACTGCATGAAATATATCTGTTGTGGCAATAATATCAGTGAGTTCTTATAGTTCTCACATAGATCTTTGCATTATAACGTCACCTAACTTTATTTTGTTCTGAAGGGAGAGACCTTTGTTATCAACTGTGTTATCCATAAGCTGGAGACCACGTATGGTTGGCTCTATGATGGATGTGGGAAGTGTGGTTCGAAGCTAAGGGATGAAAATAATACCATTACTTGTCCTGGTCGTCAAAAGAAACCTGACTCAATTGAGCCTAAGTATTTACTCTGTTTGTAGGCTGATTCCATCAATTTGATATGTAACTGATCCATTTATGACCAGTATTTTAATTCATAATGTGTAGGTTAAAAGTTCATTATGCTGTAAAAGATGACACAGGAACAACTTCTGTCATCTTTTGGGACAAGCATGCTTCGGAACTCATTAACAAAAGTGTAGCTGAGCTGAAGGCTATCTACCTTAAGGTTAACTCTGAATTTAATTAAAAGTACACAAGTTATTACAATTGTATTGCAAATGTACCTGTCTTTAGTGTACGGAAGGTTTTATTTTGACTTATTATCTTATTAATCAATTTATCAATTTATCAATTGTTTTGTCTCATTAAGTTATTGATCAAATAATAAGTTAATATATTAATAAATTGCTGCAGTCCACGAAGACATTTGAGTGGCCTATGGAGTTAGATAATCCAATTGGGAAGAAGATGTTGATTACCCTTAAGCTTAATGACTATAACAAGAACCACCCATCATCCAGCATTAGTGTTGTCCAATACACTATATGTGAGGATTTACTGGACCAATTCACTGATGCTTCAAATCAGTTGAGACTATGAAGATCACATATATACTAATCTATTTATTAATTTATTATTTTGATAATTTGATAATTATTAAATCCAACTCAATCTATTTATGAATACTCATTATCTTTTTTGTATTCAGGAACAATCAGTGAAGGACAGCAATCCTAGCCAAGTTAGTGTACTAACATCTTATTTGTTCATCATGTATCCATAACAGTTAATTCATTGCAGTTAATTATAATAATTATAATTAATTTCATCATGCTTCAGGTTGGCCTCCATACAAGTGAAGAGTATACTTCTCTATCAGATCATTCTGGTGCAAGGAAGAAAACAACAGCTCAAGTCCACACCATTGAGGATGATGATATTCTTATCTCTGATCTGTCCAATCATCCAGTACTTGCTCAGCCAAAAGGAAAGAAAAGAGGACTTGTAAGGAAAAATATTGTGGATGATGCTGATGTTCAACAAATGCCACAATCTTCATCATATGGTGATGGGAGGCTACTGAAAACAGTGAAGCAGGAGAAGTAGTTAGTAGGATAGTCAGCTACTACATTTTATGTGTCTTAAATTCATTCCTAATTATGTTGCTGTCAGTAAATTTGCAGATGTGGTGTCCTTATGTATGGTCCATCGTGTTTTGTTTTATTTGTGATCAGTTATCTTATTGGTTTGATTCCAGTACTTTTGAGACTCTATTGGAGGTTTGTTGTTATTTTGATTATCTATTAATATATTGCAGTGTTATTACTCACAAGTAGTACATCTATATAACTAAAATAATAAATGAATGAATGAAAATTGTGAAAAAGAAGAAAAAACAAAGAGAAGACCCATAGTCTCTGATCTCTCCCTCTCTTTCCTCCACTTCTCTTTCTCCACCAACTCTCTCATCGAATATATAGAACAGATATATACACATAACTCATACCAATTGAGTAAATTATGTTCTGATCCTTGAAAGATAGTATATCATTTCTCAATTGAATCACCGAATGCTTTGAACCCAGCACTGTAGAATAAAATTGTAGTAAATATTGAGACCATCAAGGATTCACTTGATGAATCCAGCATTGATTGCCCAAAGCATGATGACACTTTTTGTTGTTGTTATGAATCCACATCGATCTCCTTAATATCTTAATTATTTTCTTATACTAAGCACATAATAACAAAAGCAAATCATTATGATAGAAATAAGTGGGGACGCAAGGGATCAAAAGAAAAATGAAAAAAGCTGCAGGTTTTTAGGAGCACCTTAAAAAAGTTTCCAGCACTTAAATTTGAATATTATAATACACTACTATATGTTAAAAGGGCCGGGTAAGGCGGGGCAGCCATGGAAAAGTCCAAAAAATAACCAAGCTAATTCAATTAACTCCAAAAATTTAAGTAACCTATATGACTGTTCGTTATTGTAATTATTCTTTATTATTATATTGTTGATGAAATAATTGGTACACACATGTACATATAGAGTTATAATTGAATAATGAATATATATAATTTGCTACGCCATATATAAAGCTTCATATTAAATAAGTTCAAACGAGAGCTTTTTGTGAACATACTTTTACGCAACAAGAACACACTTTATATTCCATCAGGTATCATCATTGTGCATAATATATGATGGATCTTCATGATAAGGACATTGTAAATATGGGAGAAAAAAAAGGAAAATAAAATAAAATAAAATGCTTCTTTCTTTTTCATAGACACTAAAACAATTATTAAACAATGTATTCTTCCCAATGCAGACCTTGGAATTTCAGAATACGTATGTCATGTAGGGAAAAGATGAGTGATCTCTCAGGACAAGTCCATTAAGGAAGAGCCAATTGAGGGTTCATGCGACGATTTTGGTACGAGTCTGGGTAATTAGTTGTTAAGTTCTCTTTGTAATGTAAATATGATTACTAAGGTAAACATTTTATGATGTTCGAATTTATTTACAGCTGTTCTACCTCATACTATGATACATCACTATCAAATTTCATTGCTACAAAGTGGGACAAACTACCTTTATCAATGAAAAAGACACATAAACAAACTATTCTCATCTGTCATGTCTCATCAGGATAAGAGAATAAAAATACACAAAGCAAAGACTTTTATAATCAACTGATTCTTCAAGCTTTCATTCATTTCAAACCTTCCCTATATCGCTTGTCTCCATGTAGTATGTCGTTCATGAAGAGAACCTCCAAACCCAAGCCAATCAATATTTTTTTCACAACATGAGAATAATGAGGAGGATAATATTGTCTCACCAATGCATATTCAGTTCACTAATGATAACTATTGTCTTCAGACCTATACACATGGTAAAGCTACCATACCAGGTAATTTACTTTTTATAACTTTTACTAGGTTCTGTCACACCTTACTACCAGATCCATGTAGGATTTAATTAAAATCATTTTAGACCACATTGGATGGTCTTGGGCTCAAAAACTCTTGAAAAACGCTAATTTTCGGATTTTTACTGTTCATCAGGTAAAAATCCAGTTTTTTGGCCTAACTTCAAAAATTCATAACTTGTTCCACAAAAATCCAATTGGGGTGGTTCAAAATTCTATTTAAAGATATTTAAGTCCTATTTCAAGGAAAAATACTCTCATGATCTAATTCCTTATGAAAAAGCGTCAGGTTTTTGTGAAAGGTAACCCTGTCCATTTGTCAAAAATCCTTATTCCAGATTCTGAACCTCAACTTTGAAAAATCATTAAAAATTGTATACTTGGCCATTTTTAAAGTTTTGCCTATCAATTTGAAGCTCAAGACGTCATCTATAACCATGCTAAATTTCGTACAGAGATTCATTCGGTAACTAAATAAAACGTGACTCTAAACTAACATCCTGCTTAAGGATTACAGCACCAACCATAGATAATTATACATGACCAAATGTCCACGAATTTGTATGGTGTATCACTATAATTTAGCCTCCAATCTGCAGCTTGCTCTTGAGAGTTACAGGCCCTAAAATTTTACATTATATTTGGGGGGATGAGATTTTTGAAAATCCCGGTAGCAAGATCAATCAACCAAAACATTAACATGCATCAATTACAAGCATTCCAACCTTTTGCTATTAATAGGAAACTACTTTACCTCATACATGTAGCACTCTAACATGCAATAGCCAAGGCACATAAAGCAAGGAGTATAGCTACACAATCATCATCATCATCATCATCATTTAGTTCAACCACATAATAGCACATGAAATTGCATAGCAATCAATGCAACATTCAACATTAAGGCTAATTAAATCTTACTACCTTAATCCAATGCTCTTTGATTTTCTTGTTCTTCTTTCTTGCTTCCACAAATGTCAAACCCTAACATGGCAATCCACAAAAATGGCAGCAAGAATCATCAACCATTCCTCATGAAAAATTAACAACATAAATCAAGTAACCTCTAATCCCTTAAAGCTTCCATCTTTGTTCTTGAATTTTTAGAGTTATTTTCCATAAACCCTAAAAATTCCCTCGTGACCTTTTCCTACATAGTTTTTTCATGTAGATTCTAAATATCTACTTGGATTTAACAAAATAAATCTCCTTCTTTCAGTTTCAGCTTGACCGAACCCTTAGGATTTAAAACTCAAAAATTGCAACTTTGCTTCTATGGCTTCCAACACTTGTTCTTTAGGTTTACCCTAAACCATTTTTCATTTTGAACACAGTGAAAGCCTCAAAACTTTGAAAAACTCATCCTAGGGTTCAGATCTTGGTTTGGCCGAAAATAACACTCAAGGAAGTAACCATGAAAAATGCTTCAAAACCGACTATAATCACTTGCAAACACTAGGATCTAGCTTGTGTTGTTGTGTCTTAGCAAGATTGAACCATAAAACTTCCTCTTCTACTATATATACATTTTGTCCAGCATCAAAAGAGAAGAAAAAGCTATGATTTTTAACCATACAACTCAAGCAAACAAGGTGGAGAACATCTTAGAACCGAAAACTTACCTTGGATCTCACTTGTATGCTTAAAGTTGATGCCTTCTCCTTGGTTTTCCTTTGAAGCTCTTCCTTTTTCCTCTCTAACCCTCCTTGCACGAAATATAGATCAGATTTAGGGGAGGAAATGAGCTCATTCAATGCACAAAATATCCCACCAACCATCATTAATGAAGAGACAAGTGTCAAGTGCTATTCCTTCTTAATTTTCCCTCTTAATTAACTTAATGACAATCGAAATTAATTTCAAAAGTCAAGATCCTCTCCAATGGTGGCTTGACACTTGGAAAGCTCTAATTACCACCCATTAAAGGCTTGATAAGTGGCAACTTGTAGGCCAAGTAAAGTGTAAGACTCCGATTAACACTTTATCGGTGCACTTTTACTCTGGATTTAATTTCTTTTCTATAATTACAATGCTCTAACCTCTGTAATTATTTTCTCTCAGATCCCTACATTATTCATCTCATTTTTATCTTCTCAAATTTCCCTCTTTGTCTCAAATTTAATTTCCCAATAATTAAATAAAAAGGAAAATTATTTTCCTTCTCTTTAGTTGTTTTTCCACTTTTCTAAAGGATTGGAAAAAATCCTGGATACTTGAGGGCCTTCTTTTAATTTCATAATCTCTTATAATTCCTTAGAATATCATAGGAATTTTCTTGGGGTTTTATCCTCCTTAAAATATTTATTTGGAATTTTCCAAATAAAGGACTTTAAATTAGCTTAAATTGCCCTTAATTTCCTTTGTAATTTATCTAAGGGCAAATTGGTCATAAAACTAATTTTGTAATCCCATATAATTCTCAAGGAATATTGTCCTTATTTTTTCTTAATTTTCTGAGACTTGAAAATATTTTTCCATAATTATTCTTAACCAATTTTTCCTTAATTAATCAAACTTTTCATAATTGGCTTGGAAAATTATAATAATTATTTTCCACCAAAATTCTTCTATTTCTCCTTATCGCTTTTGACCCTTAAATATTTAGAAATATCTTTATTTCTAGTTGCCATATTATTGGATGTGTCAGGTTCTACCTATTGGAACACGTTTTACAGCATCGATGTTGTTTGGGATATAATCTGCAGATAAGACTTTGGACCTTCATACACAGCCATCTGATATATTCTCTCCACAAAGCTCCTGCACTAACCGTTCCTCTATAAATGGTCCACATGTTCTTTAAGATATCACAAATGTCACGAGTAGCTTCGCCAAACGGTTTGACATTAATACGACGAAAGGTTTGAACATTAGTACTTGTATTTTAATTGTTGTTTGATCTATATTTAGTTAGTTATTAGGAACCATTATAGACCCATTTTATTTTGTGATATTTTTAATCTTTGCCTGAAAGGAGAGAAAAGATTTCAAGTGCCACAAATCATGTTTGTTCTTTATTAAAAAAACCAGTATTGACAAGAAAAAGTCCCAGATTAAGAGGCCTTGATGATCATTTTAGGAACACAGTTCCAGTGAGGACGAGAAAGAGAAGAACTCTGTTTCAAGGTTTGATCGTTCAATTTAAATATACATATGTATATGTACTTAGACTTAGAATTTCAAATGGATGTTCAAATTGCTTTTTACTTACTCCAATAACAATTAAATACCCATTTAGATTCTCAGAGTGATAAAAAAATAGCCACGGGTCATCTAAGTTCCACACATGTCACAAATAATAATATCGGTTTTCCTCAACATTTGCTTCACCACGGTTACAATGATTCAGGTATTTAATGTCGATGATCCTGGAGGTTCGCTTATTCATTTCATTAATTTATTAATTTTGTTAATTGTTTAGTTGTTTAAATTGTTTAATTTATACTTCCTTAAAACCATTAGTGATAAACTGACTCCATGTATTGTTGTGTCATTTGCCATAGTATCTCATCAAGAAATACACCATAGAGACACAGAGTTCCGTTTAGATCCAAATGATAGTGATACATCAACAGAATATAATGATGCAGCAGATGAAATCCTGGGTAATTATGTCAAATGACATCATTATTAAAGTTAAATATAATTAATTCCTATTGTATTTCCATAACTAAGTTTGTCCTGCACTTAATAACAATTGAACTGACAGTTGATGAGGAACAGAGTCCAGAATCTGGGAACAAAGGGCTAAATGGATCTCATCATACTGAATATAATAAAGGTATTTCCATTCTTATTGAGTATTAGTATCAACTAAAATTGATTGGTATTAATGTTTTGTTGACTACTACCAGTCCTTTGTGATTACTTAGTTACTTGGTGATTATTATTCATTATATACATTTCATTTTGCATGAACATAGTGTCCTACATTGACGAAGGTGACAGAACATATGTATGCAAATTTTGCGAAGGAAAACTTTGGTATAATGAAAGAGTAAAAAAAAACAACAAGAAGAGGACTGTTAATACATTTTCATTGTGTTGCATGAAAGGCAAGATTGTTTTGCCTGAGTTACCCTTACCCCCTCTATTGCTTCAAAGTCTATTCTTTGACAAAGATTCAAGAGACTCAAAAAATTTCATTGCAAATATCCACCAGTACAACAACATGTTTTCTTTTACCTCATTAGGAGGCAAGATTGATCATGCCAAAAATAGTAGTGGAGGGCCATACTCTTTCACATTATCCGGTCAAAATTATCATAACATTGGAAGCTTACTACCTCTAGAAGGTTCCAAGCCTGTATATTCCCAATTGTACATAGTTGACACTGCAAATGAAGTCTCCAACAGGATTTCTGCTGTCAGGTATTACTAAGCTAATTATATTTGCTTGAATATTTATATATTATATATTTGTGTATTTGCTTACAATTACCAATTTAGCTTAATTATTTAGCATGTGAAGCTGCATAATATATTTCCTATTGTTACCGCAAACATAAGAAGCAATCGACAATTGACCCAAATATTGTTAGCTAAATTAAAGCAATGTTAGATGAAGCTAATCCATTTGTCTAGCAATATCGATTTGCGAGATCAATGCTAAATAACCAAGACAGCATACCACTAAAATTGTGCTTGCTTAGTACAAGGAATAATGATGGTCAGGTTTACAATGTCCCAACTGCTTCTGAAGTTGCTGTATTAATTGTTGGTGATATAGACTTCAATTTCAATGTTAGAGACATAATACTTGAAGAGCAATCTGGAAAGTCTCAATGCATTAATAAATTGCATGCATCATACTTGCCTCTTCAATATCCGAGATTATTCCCATTTGGAGAAGATGGGTATAGAGATGATATCTAACATAGAGAGGAGTCACTTAGTGTGACAAAGACAAGGAAAAGATTAAGCATTCGAGAGTTCTTTTGTTATAGATTGATGAGTAGAGACAAAGAGGTGTCACTAATTTTACAGTCTTAAAGATTACTCCAACAATTCATAGTTGATGGGTACACAATGATTGAATGACAAAGATTACTCTAGGTTAGAACTCATCAAAAAGAACTTAGGGCAAATTTATATCAAGGATTATCAGATGCAATCTTAAATGGTGAGAGGAATTCATCATTCATTGGAAAGCGTATTATTTTACCATCCTCTTTTATTGGTGGTGCAAGATATATGGTAAATAATTATCAAAATGCTATGGCATTATGTAGATGGGCTGGTTATCCAGATATTTTTCTCACCTTCACATGCAACCCTGCTTGGCCTGAGGTTACTCGTCTTGCTGAAGAAGAGGAGGTCCATCATTCAGATCGTCTTGATATATTGGCAAGGGTTTTCAAGATGAAATTAGCATCGCTCATGAAAATTATAAAGGAAAAAAAATATTTGGTCCCGTCATTGTAGTTTAGGTGCCACCCATCTTTTATAATTATTAACTTCTAATTATCTATTGACCTGTATACATGTTTACGCTTTTTATGGTTGTTTGATATATTAATTATTAACGATTAATGACTAACTATTACTTCTATTAATCTCACCAGACGTTTACACGATCGAATTTCAAAAGAGGGGACTCCCACATGCTCATATCCTGCTCTTCCTAGATCGTCATAGCAAAATCAAGGATGCAGAGACTATTGATAGGTTTATATCAGCAGAAATTCCAAACAGAGATTCTAAACCCAGGCTCTATGAGTTAGTTAAGAAATATATGTCTCATGGACTTTGTGGGAATGCCAACCCAAAATCACCTTGCATGAAAGATAAGAAATGCACTAAGTATTTCTCGAAGAAATTTTGTGATCATACAAAAATTGATGATGATGGTTTCCCAACTTACAGAAGAAGGGATGATGGGAGGTCAATCGAAGTGAAAGGTATTCATTTGGACAATCGTTATGTTGTGCCTTACAATCCAATATTGCTTAGCTTGTTTGAAGCTCATATCAACGTTGAGAAATGCAATCAATCAACATCAATTAAATACTTATTTAAGTATATCAGCAAGGGAAATGATAGAGTAGTTGCTGCATTATTTGATAGGAATGATAAAAACAGTGAAGTGTTTGATGAGATTCAACAATACTATAACTGTAGATACATTTTAGCATGTGAAGTTGCATGGTGAATATTTGGGTTTGACATCCATCATAGGTTCCCTTCTGTTGAAAGATTAAGCTACCACCTTCCAAATCAACAATTCACTATATATTCAAGTGCCGATGATGTTGCTAAATTGTTAGAAAAACCAAGGGTTTGTGAGTCCCAATTTCTTTCCTGGATGAAGAAGAATAAGGATGACAAATTTGCAGAAACTTTAACTTACATTGAATTTCCCAATCATTATGTTTATCTATGTGATAAACGTTAATGGAAACAAAGGGAAATGGGATTTTCAGTTGGAAGGATTACACATGCTTCACCATCTTCAGGGGAATTATACTACCTACGTATTTTGTTGACTAAAGTACGAGGTCCTCACACATTTGATGACATCAAAACAATAGATGGAGTAGTACACAAAACATTTAAAGATGCATGTCATGCACGTGGACTTCTTGATGATGACTACGAGTACATTTCTACTATTAAAGAGGTTGCTATATGGGCAACAGGAACTTAATTGAGGAACCTATTTGTTTCAATGTTATTATGCTGTTCATTGCATCGTCTGGATTTTGTCTGGCAGGAAACATCTACACTCCTTTCTGAAGATTTACTATGGCTTCCACGGAATGACCTTACTCTATCAAGTTAGTTGCTAAAGAATTAATTATATTACTATTACAATACATTTTGTCATATTTCAAATTTGTGTGGTTCAAATTTGACAAACAATTATGTCTTTGACAGGTTTCACATATCTTCATCCCATAAGGAAGATGCTGCTTTAAGGGATATTGATTGTCTCCTACGTCAAAATGGGAAGACTTTGCATGATTTTCCCTCCCTGCCACTTCCATCTGAAATCCCTCAAGTTGACGTATGCAATCACCTTATCTTGCAAGAGATGAATTATGATTGAATAAGTATGCGACAACAAGTTAACAACATGGTCAATGAGCTTACTGATGAGCAGTATCATATATTCCAAACAATTATTTCAGCCGTCCAATCAAATGAAGGAGGGTTCTTTTTCGTTTATGGCTATGGGGGCACTGGGAAGACATTTTTATGGAGTGTTTTAACATCATACTTGAGAGGAAAAGGAGATATAGTTATTGCAGTTGCATTGAGCGGGGTAGCGGCAACACTACTACCTTTTGGTAGGATAGCACACTCAAGGTTTGCAATACCACTACAAATTACTGAGACATCTTTTTGTGCTGTTAGTCAAAATTCTGCATTAGCCAATCTTCTAAAATGCACAAAATTAATCATATGGGATGAAGCACCAATGGTTTAGAGATTATGTATTGAAGCTTTTGATAGGACACTTAGGGATATCATGCATTGCGATAAGGTATTTGGTGGTAAATGTATTATCATGGGCGGTGATTTTTGCCAAATACTTTCAGTAATACCAAAAGGTTCTAGGTCAAATATTGTTGATGCATGCATAAGCTCTTCGCATCTATGGCGGCATTGCAAAATTTTAAAGCTAACAAAGAACATGCGTTTACAAAGAAATTGTGATGTGAACGATAAGGAGAGATTAGAATGGTTTTCAAATTGGTTATTGTCTATTGGTGATGGCAAGATAGGTGAACCACATGACGGTGTTGCTAACATTGGTATTCCTGCAAATTTTCTTCTTCCATCATCTCCAAATCTAATCAATGCAATGTTTCAATCAACATATGGTGATTTATTTGAAAATATTTCATCGTCCCAATACTTCAATGATAGAGCTATATTGGCATCACACATTGAAACTGTTAATCAGATCAATGAGCACATGTGTGCCATGTTGCCAGGCGAGTTACATGACTTCTTCAGTTGTGATTCAGTTTGCAAATCAAATGAAGATTGTGATGGCATGGACAACTTATACCCAACAGAATTCTTGAATACAATCAATTGCTCAGGTATGCCACCTCACAAATTACAGTTAAAAATTGGAGCACCTATAATGTTGTTGAGGAACATTGACCAAGTTGCAGGTTTGTGTAATGGGACACGTCTTCGTATTACCCATCCTGGTAAAAGTGTCATTGAAGCTATCACTTTGAAAGGTTCATTGCCTAACCAAAAAGTCTTGATACATAGGATGGATATGAACCCATCTGATACTCATTGGCCTTTTTGCATGAAACAATGACAATTTCCTGTTACACTTTCTTTTGCAATGACAATCAACAAAAGTCAAGGGCAATCATTGAAGCATGTTGGTTTGTATCTATCAAAGCCTGTTTTCTGCCATGGGCAACTATATGTAGCATTATCTGGAGTCACAAGCATTGATGGATTGAAGGTTGTTGTTGACGATTCTAAATGTGGTGCTTCAAATTCAACCATAAATGTAGTTTATCAAGAAGTGTTTAGGAACATTGACTGACTTTGCCTACAACGATTGTAATGCATGTGCAATTATCCATGCACATGGTTTTGATGATTGAATTGAAGTTGTATGGAATGGAATGAACATGTTTTATTCGCTTAAAAAAATCTTTTTTTGAAAGTTATTAGATTAAGTTACGCACCCGTGCATCACACGGGGATGGCCAATCTAGTTAAGATGTAAAAGCAGAAAGCACAGTGAAATGAAATTCAGGTGCTTTGCAGCCACGAAATATTGGTCAAATGAAATTCAGATGTTTTGCAGCCATGAAATATTTGCTAGAATTATATAACATAGAAAGCTAGAAGTTCCACCAATCTGGAGCTTCTAATTGTATTTCAGGGTTACCTGTCATAGATGCAGGAGCATCAAAATCTTCCTTGTTTTGGGATGCATAGCATTGATACTGGAATTCAAAATTTTCATTATCATCTGGTTCCTTCAGAAGCATCACAAGAACAAGATAGCATGAGAAAATGCTTATTTACCCGCGGATCCTGATGATGAATAACAGCTTGGCTTCTGGGTTGACGTAAAATCTGCCCTTAAGCTTTCCTTCACACTTCAATCTAATCAACTCCTTTTGCTGAACATAAATTGTAATTAAGCCAATATGTAAGCAGTTAGAAATGAACCCAAAAAAAAAACCCATGTTAAGCTCTGTAACATACTTCTTATAAATTTTAACTTTACATGCCTGCTCGTCATATTCCTTGGCATACCGTTTAGCCATGTTAAAAATTAGTTTTCGTGTTTCAGATCTCTGTCTTGGTAGCTTCAAGCTCTTTCTTTTTTGCCAGAGCCCATTCCTCGTTTCTCTTCTGCTTTTTCAATATAGACTCAGGAACAACTGCTCCAACTTTAACATCCTCTCCACCCATGCTTTAGATTAAGAGGATAGAAAATTAAATGCAATGAACTAAGCAACAATCAGCTCACAGGACCATCAAAGTCAATGAAAAATTCATAGGTATCGAGTTTTCCATTTATTACAAAAGGGAATGTGAAACAACAAACACAAATGCCAGACATTACATTACAACAATTAAAATCACCAGCTAAACACAAAAACCATACAAAGCCACATCACACTATTCCATTGGTTAGAAGGGGCTTTTATAGCTAAAAATTGTAGGGGGAAAAAGAAAATAAATTCGTTTTCAAGACAGCATAGCCAATTACAGAATTCACATCAACTTGTTCGTGTTGTCAAAATAAGATGCCCAACGAAGAATTGATAAATTAAAAGGAGAAGAAGCGTAATGAGATTCACAGAGAGATGGTTTCACCGAGTAGAATGGCGGCAGAATGAAATGGTTTTTGTCCCTGCAAAGTCAAAGCTTAAGGAAAATCTTAAATATTCACATCAAGGCTTTCGACTAGTTGGGCCGGGTGGAGTCATCTTTATGATTTTGTAATTATAAATTATAATTATAATATTTTGTAATTTGTCATTTTATTGCTAGGTCCAGAGGAAAATCGGTCATCAGCGTCAGCGATCAAAGCCCTAAACCCTCCCCTGCCAAAATTCGAAGACTGTTCGAATGCCAGCAAATTTAACTGATAACAAAGTAAAGTCTTCTATTTTTGTGTTTATGCCTCGCCAACTTTTGCTAGGGAGCCAAACGATGAAGCATAGAAGTGATACTTGCGACCGGTCCGATGGAAATATTTCGTTGAATTCAGAGCAGAAAGTTCTTCTTCACCAATCTATAGCTCATTATTTGGAGCTCCATGGGTTCTCGAAGACCCTGAAAAAATTTCGTTCCGAAGCTCAAATCGAGGTGGGTTTTGCTACTCTCGCTGTAAATGTGGGAATGGGCTGAGTTGAACTGATGCTTGATGAATTTTAAATTTTTGATCATATAACAGACCTAAGAAAAAGGTGGTATTATGCTGTTCCATTAAATCACAAAAAAAAAAGAACCTAATATAGAGAAGTCCTTGAAGAATTGAAAATCACTGTTCTAGTAGCGGGTAGCACATACTGCTACAGAGCATAACTTAGGGGCCACCCTCTACGACTTTATAGTATAGTATTTGGTCTAACATGCTTAAATATATCTAAAACAGAATGCAAATTTGAAAGAGGATTTTGCATAACATGTGTTCGGTAGTTTTATTGGTTGGCCATTTTGTTGGTCCCTTGGCATTGGTCTAATTTTGAGTAATCCAGACACTACTTTGGATCAAACAATTTTGCAGGTCATGGATGATGGCAGTGATTTTCTTTCTCATTATTCCATTCTAAGCTTCCTTTCAATGTGCTGCGGAATGGCCCTCAAAATATGCTTACTTTCATATCATACGGTTCAGCTTTAAAATCTTCTAGTCCAGCAATTGAGTAGAAGGCGCAACATATTCACATTTATAATATGCTGGTTCTTATAGTTCATAATATTACCAATATGAACATTCGTTTTAAAGCTAAAGCAAAAGGGAATGATCTTCGCTATGCCCAATGGGTTCGTTTTAAATTTCTGAAGTAAACATATGGCATTATGAAGAAAAGCATCTAATTTTGATAACGAATGATATTTTATGTATGGCATAGAGGAATGTTGTAGGTTGTCCCTTTTAGGTTAGTAATCTAGGATTTCTGTGCGTAGTTCCCTTCTATTTATGTTTCACTTCTTAGCATTCAGTGTCTAAAAAGCTTGGTTCTTACTTGTTGCTTCTGTTGTCTAATGTTATTGTTCCTGCTTGGCGCAAAAAGATAATCGTGATGGATCATTAATTGATCTAGAAGAGATGTGCCTCAAATATTTAAAAATTAGGTAAGAGAAGGAAACTCTGCATTGTGTTATTTGGTAATTATGAAGTTCGTGATAACTTCAAAATTGATTCTTGAAACTTGAAATGGGAGTATAGTACGAATTATAGTTACTTGTCTCGTTGTACTTTATTCAAAAGGAATAACAAAAGGAGTCTTGTTTAACCTAGTAACTGTGAACTTATTGTTTATCCCCTGATTTGGCTTTCATCCTCTGGTTTAAGGAGCTTCTATATCTGCAGAATTGAACATACATGATCGGTGATAGATGGAGAAGCCATATGTGACTTTTAGACTACTTAATCAGTTTTTCCCAAGTCATTTGTCAAAACTTGGAAGATACAATCAGCCTGAAAGTTCTATTTATTCTCATTGAGGATTTGCCTCTAGCTTCTAGGGACATGTCAGTTCTAGAAAGTGCCAATTTCACTTTCCCAATTGTTGCTGCATCATTTGGCCTCTTTAACTCTGTGTTATTGATTTCAAAGTTTTCTTTGTGATTTAATTATCTGTTAATTATCCTTTGATTTTTGTTTCCCACTTTTTCTTTTCTCCTTTTGGTAGTGAGGATGTCAAGGCAAATAACAGTAATAAGAAGGAGCAAGGTATGCTTAAAATCCATGTATATATCTGCTTCTATATTTTCATGGTCAATTTCTTCCTTTCTTATTGTTTGCCATGCAATCATCACTCTTTTACTTCCTAGACATATAAATTAGATCGTTATATTGGCACTTCTACTTGCTAGTTGCAGGCAAGCACTCCAAGAAAGATGAACAGGATAATTTGACAGTTGATATGGAGAACAAAAGTAAGAAAAAGAAAACTGAGCAGAGTGACAGTGACGCTGGTGTTCATCAATCTGGAACCTATGAAGATCTTAGTGGTACAGAGAACTCTAAGGCATTGACAAATGGCTTAGGCCCTGAATCGAAAGTAACTTCTGAAGACAAGGTAAAGTAAACTAAATTCTGATTTTTGCGGTAAAGGAGCTGAACAAATTAGCAGTGGGAACTGGGAATGAAGGTGCTTGCTAAGAAGACATTTTGTGAATATTGTTGCAGGATAATGAGAAAAGGTGCAAAGAAAAGAAGAAGAAGAAGAAAAGAAAGTCAGCTTCTGAATTTCTTTCTAATGCAATTAATGAATCTGCAGATGCTGAAACTATGATTGATGAGACAAAGAAGCGATCAGTGGATAAAAAGAAAAAGAAAGACAAATCAAGCGGTGATGGCAATGATAGCCAATTTGAATCTGAATTTATGGTGACAGAAGTCAAATTACGGGACACTGCATCTTCAGATGCCAAAACTGTCAATGGTGAGATGGAGAAGCAATCCAAGGATAAAAAGAAAAGGAGAAACAAATCAAGCAGTGATGGGAATGCAGAAGGGCTTCAGATTGGAGATCACATTGAAAATGATTCTATGAAGCGTAGTGCCAATACATCAAATGAAGATGTAACAGACAAGAAGAAGAAAGATTCTAAAAAACGAAGAAGATAGACATCTGAAGAAAATGATGTATTGCCTGCAGGTGGAAAGGCAGATGTGGAACCCAAACACAGAAAGATAGAAAATTTAAATGAATCTAAGAGAGGCCAACAATCAACAAAGATGAATGAAAACCTGAACAATGATTTAATTTCTGATGGGAAGTTAAATGGGGACCTTGGGAATACTGGAGAGAAATCTTCCGTCCAGAGGGCTCAGAAGAAACAACATAAGGGATCAGTTGAGGTATTATGATTACGCTCTTGATGTTTACAGAACTGATACATGAAGCACACATGAAGATTAGTAATACATCCTACTTTTAACGTAGAATTACATTGATTTTTGGGTTAATATAATTTTTGGTCCTTTAAGTTTGTTCTCATTTTGGTTTTGGTCCCTCAAGTTTCAAACCATGGGTTTTGGTTCCTCAAAGGGCAAACCAAAATGGTCTATATTTTTATTGAATTATAGGGATCAATGTTTTAAATGAAAAGAAATTTAAGAGATCAAAACTAAAATGAGAGATAGTTTGAGGGATCAAAGTTTATATTAACCCTTGATTTTTTGTCACTGTTCTCAACTAATGGGGTTAGCTTGTTTTCAACTGATCACTTCCCTAGGAAAATTCTCCTTATAAGGGATGAAATTTCCTAGTTTGAAAAAATTGGCTTGGTGTAGCTGAGGCTTGGTTCTCATCTTAACACTACAGTTCCAATCCTAGAATGGATTTTTGGCCTACCGGAAAAAAAATTTTTTTGGTTTCTCTTCAATTGAAAGTGTTTAATATCATAAATCCCTATTTGTTTGTATTGAGGTTTTCAAATCTTTTCTTCCTTCATTATAAGATGTTTCATTTGTCAATTTATTTTTCATATGTGTGATTCCAGTAACACTGCTGGAGCTAAAGATTTATCATAAACCCCACTACTTGTTTGCATATGTTCTCTGCTCTCTTCCCTTACTAGAATATAATTTTATTTCCTTGTCCTGATGGAAGATCTTTTATGTCTCTGCTTTTCATTTCAATAGAATTTTTAATTCCAATAACACTGCTGAAGGTAGATGTTTATTATAATTGGTTCTGATACCTTTAATTTCAGCCAAAACCGGTGAAGGCATTTCAACGAGTAAAAGCAGATGGAGTAGTATTTGCTGATGAGAGACTTCAGGATAACTCTTACTGGGCAAAGGTATAATAACCTGATGCCCTTTCCACTGTCTGCTATGTATTTTAATACAATTATGTGATGATGTATGTCTTCAGGATGGTGCTGAGAGCGATTATGGCGCAAAAGCGGAGGAAATTCTTGGCCAAGTTAGAGGAAGGTAAGTGTGGCGCATGTAAGATACTTATGAACTGATTTGAATAACAATTACTTTTTCTTCAGTCTGAAATTCCTTTATACCTGCTACTGACTCGCACAGGGACTTTCGTCATGAGAAGACCAATAAAAAACGTGGGACGTACAGAGGGGGCCAGATTGATCTCCAACCCCACTCAATAAAGTTCAATGATTCTGATGATGATGAATGACTGGACATACAAACAACTTGGGAAGGAAATTTTGTTTCATTATTTCTCTTGGATGCCTTTCACATTGCCTTCTCCTGATCGTGTGGTCGTGAAACAATTCAATTCAGCAAGGAGAGCAATACTATTTCATCTTATTTATTTGGTAACACTGTAAAGTGGCACATCAATAGCATCTTGAGCTGTACAAAAATATCTTCAACGCAAACCTCTCTTGTTTTCATCTAATAGAGGCTTCTGTTACATATTCATTATGTAGATTGGAGGATTAGGGGAACTTTGTTTGTGTGAAATCAAATAAATGGGATGCTTGGTAACAAAAAGTACATGAACACATGGAAATTAATATTCTTAGCATTTTCTCAGTTTGGGCTTGGTTATCTATGAAGCCAGTATGATTAAGCCCAAGCAACATCCAACTTTTAACTATTCTAGTGCTTTTATTACACACACCCCCGCCCGCGTAATCATTTTGTCATGGCAAGGAAAACAAAGTATTTTGCTTGTCTTGAATTTTTCAAAAGAAAAAAAGGAGGAAAAAAAGGCGTTAATTTTGCTACTGTTCAGCGGATCCTCCCAAGATTCCAATGAAAAGGAGATATGATATGATAGTATAAAATGAAAGCCACTTTGTGCTGCTGCCCGGTAAGTCAAAAAGCAGCTTATTGCTGACATTATACTCATCGTCTTCCTGAAAATGAACTTGAAGTTGATTGCTTTGTTGTTGGATGGAAATATTTTGTAATACACATTAAATGTTGAAACGGGTCAAATGGCAATTGGATGAGTAGGAACGACAATCTTGCTACAAAAAAGAGGAGATTAAATTTGTATGAACGAGGGCCAAGAGAAAAAGGAAAATTACGAGATCTGAGTCATTTGATGACTCGTACATCTTGTCTCTACTTTTTGCTCATTAAGGTCAAACTTAAGAGGAGTAAGATAGCTTTGTTTGTTTGGGAGTTGTTACTTTTTCTTGTAGGGGAATTATTAACATTTTGATTCTCTAAAACAATGATCCTTTTGAAATTGATAACTATAATTATAGTACGCTGATCGGCGGATATCTGTATGCAAGTAGAAAAAAATTTGTTGAGATTGTTGTTTGCAACCGTATATTATGAGCATTATAATTTTTATTATTTTTAACAGCTAATTAGTGTGATTTTAATATATTCATATAGATTTTGACATAAGTTGTGTTTATTACAGATAAATATTGTGATTTTACATTAATTTAATACATATAATGATATTTCTTACTGATTCAATACTATGACTCATAAAATAGGAGCTTACATTTACATTATATTTGTTGAATATTGACATTTTCCCAATTAGAAGGACATGCACTAGTGTCTTGGGATGATAAGTAGAGCTAAACCTGCAATCTATATGTACAAGAAAATTTACAAAAAAAAATGATATTTTAATTTTGGGAAAATTACAATGAAATCTCAAAAAAGAAAAATAATTACAAAATAAATATCAAAGGTTGTCATTGCTTATTTGAAATTTGTCATTACAAGCTGTTTAGATTGTTACTGGGACTTGTCAGTAATTATTTTCTTCTTTGAAACTTGATTGTAATTCTCCCTTTGATTTTTGGCATGGGTTTTAGTTTTCCAATTCATATCGGTTAGAATATATATTTAGTCTTTTAACTTCGTAGAAAGTTTTAATTTGGCTCCATAATTTTAAAAAGTATATTTTTAGTCGTTAACCCTCAAATTATTAACAAAAAATGACACTATTCAGATCTTAAATGTTGATAAACATTATCAAATGCTGACATATTAAGTTTAATTTTTAGAACAATCATGACCATTACAAAAAAATCATTTAAGCCTAATAATTTTAGGGTTGAAGAACCAAATATATGCTTTTTGAAATGAAGGAACTAAATTAAAACTTTAAATAAAGTTAAAAGACTAAAGATTTAGAATGTATTTGAAATCACAATGAAGGGCCCTAAACTAATTTCTTCACCGTTAAAAGCTGAAAAAAGTAACTTTTCGTTTAAAATGTATGTTTGGAATCGCCGCGAAGGTAAATGGACTTATACTGGAAATGAACTTTTTTCCAAAAGCTCCTGCTTTCAGCTTCTCCACTGTTGTTGGCCAAAAAAAGCTTCTCCACTGCACATTTCAATAGGTGGGGCCATGAGCGAGGGAGGAGAGAGAATGCATGATGTGAGTTCTTCTTGTTTTTTTAATCCAACCAATTGGTTTTTAATATTAAAAAATTATTTTTGAATAATAAAATCATTTTTAAAAAATAAATTTATTATTCTTTAAAAAATAACTATTTTAATTTTAATTTTTCTCTGACAATTATCACATTATAAACATATAATATAAATATATACCATTCAATAAAGTTCATGTCCTTTTCAGTCATTTTACATCTAAACTCTTTTTTTTATTAATCATTCAAACAAATTTCAACTTCTTAAACTAACTTTTTTATAAAAGCCAGTCCAAACATAAGTCACATTACAATACCTGACTTTTACCTAATCTGATTTTTGTAAAAGTCATATTGAAAAAAAGTAACTTCTCTCACTACTAAGTCAAACACACCCTTAGTCTATTCATATTTATCATTGCATTGTTTGATTGTCGTTTTGATAGCCGCCAATAAACGACACAAAAGCTTAGTAAACGCAAAGGTAAGACCAAAAAACCCTATCGGCTCTATCAATAGTGAAGTGATCGCCGAGAGAGAGGCGGGATCCTTATCGCCGACCCTGTGTGTGAGAGTTTGTTTGTTAACTATTGCACAATTCGAAGAAGTAAAACAGAGCACGAAAAATGGTGGTAAGGATTCGACTATCGAGGTTTGGGTGCAAGAACAAGCCATTCTATCGGGTAATGGCTGCCGATAGTAGATCCCCAAGAGATGGCGAGCACCTCGAAGTTCTAGGTTATTACAATCCCTTACCAGGTTCTCACTTCTCTCTTATTCCCCTTTTTGTTTGGAATTTCCATTTTGGTTTTTGTGTGAGGGAGGTTTCGTTTTTAGCTTGAGTGATTGGATTTCGGTAACTGCAGAGTGCTTGTTCTGTTTGAATTCTGAGAAAGTGTGAGAAAGGAAGAGAAAGTCGTCACTGTGAGGGGAATTTGAGACTCAATGCAACTAGATTCCCAAATGTGAAACCTAACTGCTCGTAGTAGATGGGCTTAGGACGGTGTTAAAATTAGTTTGTTGGAAATAAAACTAAGTTATTTGTATCTTTCAAGTGGTAAGAAATGAATAAGTATCTATCATATCCACTAGTATAGGTTATGATATATTGATAGGTGCACGCAATGACACTGGATCAATCAGATGTTTGCACTTCACTTTCCTTATGTATAGTAGGGTTAACCTTCACTTTCAAGTGGGAATGAGAACCTGAGTTATGAATGCCAATAGAATTTTGTCAAAAAATGAAATTGTAATGGCAAGAGTTAGCGTACTCAAACCCAGGCAATACCTTTCTTGGTGGTGACAATGTCTGTTCCTTCCTCCTGTTTTGAATTTAGTACACTCTAGCCCTTGAGAATTGCTGCAAGTGTCTAGTTATACTCCTCCGGTCCTGTCCTAAATATAAGACCCATTTTGTAGTGTAATTACAAATACATTACAAAATAGGTCTTATATTTAGGTCCGGAGGAGTATTATTTATCAATGAGAAAGTTCATAGATGGTTCTAATGATACCATTTAATTCTTTTCAACTTACATTGCCTCTTTACAGGGCAAGATAATGCAAAAAGAATGGGTCTAAACTTCGAAAGAGTAAAGTAAGTATTTGTATTTAATTTCCAATACACATCATTGTTGATTTAAGTGATTGCTATAGCATGTTGGTTTTATTTAGTTGATTGGCTATTAGCCCAATCTTCATCTATATGATTGGCCAAAAATACTTCATCTAAGTGAATTCTTTGGAACATACATGTTTTTTTTTCCTTGGCCAACTTGGGAACATAAATATCGGTTGTCATTCTTACGGCATTAACTTCTCTTTGCTTCTTTGTCAGGTATTGGCTTTCTGTTGGAGCCCAACCTTCAGATCCTGTCCAGTGTCTACTATTCCGAGCGGGGTTATTGCCACCGCCACCAATGGTGGCAATGGGGCGTAAAGGTGGACCACGTGATACACGCCTTGTCGATGCTCTTACTGGGCATGTCCTGAGTCAAGAGAAGACAGTTAAAGATGACAGCAATAAAGATGATGGTGAAGATGACACCCCCACTCCATAAAACCTTTACTAAGTTGTTTTTAAGGGTGTCTTTTTTTCTAATTCTGTTGACCCCTCTATTCTAGGTATATCACCAGAATGTGTATTTTCAATCGGCTTACCAATTAACTGAAGAAAATAATTGCTATTTGTTTGTTGAAAGTACCTGTTGGGAAAGGGTTGTGAATCTGTAATGTTTCATCTAAAGCCAGAGAAAGAGTCAGATGGCATTTTCACCTTCTCAAATGTAAGATGAATTTTGATTGGTTTGTGGAAGTGAATTGATGGTTAATCTTGGTGATGAAATCATGAAAGGCCTGATATTTTGGTATTTTGGAACTTTTGCTTGGGCAAAAAGGAAAATAGCTGATTAGTAATCCTTATATTTTGAATATCGTCTTATTAGTTTTCATATTTCTGTACTGCATTTTGATTGTGGCCTGAGGATGCATTTGGAGGATAATCTTTAGTGTAAATGTGAATGCAATTCTAAACACAAAAGTAGTTAACCAAAGGATTGTTCATGAGATATTTTGGCTACTTAATTTTTGATATACTCCTCTGGTCCCTAATATAGGGTCTGATTGTTGAGTTGATTTTAATCCTAAATATAAGACTTATTTCTCATATTTATTAATTTTTTCTAAATTACCCCTATGGATACTCTCTCAATCATAATCAAGTACAAGAAAGAGAGAGAATATTAAGAAAGATGATTATGGTGTTTTAGGAAAAATATGTCATATTTTTTTATAATTAATTAACTTACTTAACTCCCTTATAACAACAACAAAGCCTTATCCCATTAGGTGGGAGCGGCTACATGGATTGCATGACACTATAGAGTCCTATCCAAAGCCAAATCTTTGGATAGATTGTTAATTGAAAGATCTCTCTTAATGACTTCATTAAGCGTTGTCTTCGGTCTTTCTCTACTCCTTTTTAGAGGACTCCATACTGTTTGTTCAACTCTTCTTATCGGTGCGTCTCAAGGCCTTCTTTGCACGTGACGAAACCATCTCAATCGGTTTTCTACCATTTTCCCATCAATAGTAGCCACTCCAACTTTTCCTCTTATATGTGCATTACAGATTTTGTCTTTTCTTGTATGACGACACATCCATCTCAACATTCTCATCTCAGCAACTGCTACTTTATGTTCATGTTATCCCTTTAAAGCCCAACACTTATAGCCATATAGCATTGCCGGTTTTATAGCAGTGCTATAAAACTTTCCTTTGACCTTATTTGGTACTTTTCAATCATAGATAACTCCTGTCGCTTTTCTCCATTTAAACCACCAAGCTTAAATTTTATGATTAACATCTCCATCATTTTCTCTGTCTTTTTGTATAATTGATCCCAAATATTTAAACCTTTCTACTTGTTGAATGACCTGGTCTTCCAATCTAACCTCCGACTCTGTACTCACTTGTCTCTTATTAAAAGTGCAGTGCATATATTTCGTCTTGCTTTTACTCAAACGGAAACCCTTCGATTCCAAGGCTCTTCTCCACGTCTTAAGTTTAGCGATAATCTCTTCTTTTGACTCAGCCAATAGAACTATATCATCAGCAAAAAGTATACACTTTGGGATTTCTTATTTGATATGCTCAATTAGAACATCAAGGACTAGGTTAAACAGATAAGGGCTTAGAGATGATCCCTAATGTAGGCCAATCCTTGTAGGAAAGTCCTTTGTCTCACCGCCTAGTGTTCTAACACTAGTTATGACCCCCTCATACATGTCTTGTATGATTTTAATATAAGCGACACGCACTCCTTTCTTCTCCAAGGCTCTCCAGAGCACTTCTCTAGGCACACGGTCGTAAGTTTTTTCCAAATCAATAAAAATCATATGCAAGTCTCTTTTATGGCTTCGATACTTTTCCATTAAGCCCCTTAGTAAATAGATTGCTTCTGTTGTCGATCTTCCTGGCATGAAACCAAACTGGTTTTCAAAAATGCAAGTCTCCAATCTCAACCTATGTTCCATCACCTTCTCCCATAATTTCATGGTATAACTCATCAGTTTAATCCCTCTGTAACTAGCACAATTATAAATATCCCTTTTATTTTTGTAAATGGGTACTAAAGTACTTTTCCTCCAATCATCAGGTATTTTTTTGGAGCGCAAAATCTCACTGAATAACTTAGTAAGCGACAGCATCCCACCTTTATCCAAACATTTTCAAATTTCAATAGGAATACCATCAAGTCCAATTGCTTTATTATTTTCCATTTTCTTAAGAGCTTCCTTCACTTCACCAACTCGAATTCTTTGATAAAAAGAAAAATTATGTTTCTCTTCTCCAATTGTCAAATATTCAAGCTCATAAGTCGGTCCTTCACTCCCATCATTAAATAGCTTATAAAAGTAGGCTTCCCAACTATCCTTAATATCACAATTAGTAACCAAAAATCTACCTCCTTCGTTCTTTATACATCTTACTTGGTCCAAATCTCTTGTTTTTCTTTCTTTATTCTTCGCGATGTTGTAGATCTTGCATTCCCCTCAAAAGCTTTAGTACGAGCTTCTCCTACTGCTCTCCTAGTCTCTTTTTTAGCTATACGGTACCTTTCCCAATTTTCAGCATTATTACACAAATGTAACGCTTTAAAACACTCTCGTTTATGCCTAATTTTCTCTTGCACGTTCTCATTCCACCACCACATGTCTTTATATTGCCAATTTTGACCTTTCGATTCACCTAAAATTGCTTTAGCAACCTTCTGGACCTTTTTAGTCATTTCTATCATATAAGATTAGCATTTCCTTGTAACTCCCAAACCCCTTCATTTAAAAACATCCTTTTGAAAATCTCTCGCTTCTCTCCCTTTAACTGTCACCATTTGACCCTTGGGATTAACACTTGTTGGCGCTTTTGTTTTATACACTGAATACGCACATTAAGGACCAGTACTTTATGTTGTGCTATGATGCCATCTCTAGGAATCATTTTACAATTTGTCCAGAGTTTTTTATCAGGATTCCTTACCAGAAAGAAATCAATATGCGATTTTTGGGTTCTACTCTTGTAAGTGATTAAATGCTCATCCCGCTTCTTAAAACAAGTGTGAACAATCTTGAGATTGTATGCGAGGGAGAAATCAATAATAGCTTGTCCTTCATTATTATGTACTCCAAAACCCAAACCACCATAAGCCCCAGCATACTGTCCCGTGTCTTTACCAACATGTCCATTAAGATCACCACCAACAAAAATCTTTTCCATGGTTGGTATACTTTGAATCAAACCCTCCATATCTATCCAAAATTTCTCCTTAAGATGGTCTTCCGCTCCTACTTTAGGTGCATAAGTACTAATCACATTGATAGTATCCCTCCCCATAATTATTCTTAAAGAAATGATTTGTCTTCTATCCTTTTGACTTCTACCACATTCTGTTTCTAGTCATTATCAATGATAATACCAACTCCATTCCTTGTGCCTACCTTTCCCATATACAAAAGTTTAAATCCATTAGTAAATTCGAAAGCCTTCTCTCCAACGTATTTAGTTTCTTGTAGGCACAAAATATTAATCTTCCTTTTGCCCATTACTTCCATCACCTCCCTTGATTTACCATATAGTGTCCCAACGTTCCAAGCGCCAAACTTGATCTTGCTTTCATGAATTAACTTCTTTAGCCGCCTCCGTCCATAAGAGTGCGGTAGCCTTTGCTCATTTAACACTACATTCGGGCGACAATGCAGTGGCTCTTGCTTACTTCTCACTGTACTCGAGCCATACAGCACGTCATTTCTTGGCAATAACCTGGCAGTAGTGCAATTTCTTCGTTGATCCGTGTCATAAAAGATTCGACAGAGTTTTACGTTGGCTGTCAATGGCCTAACACAACCCTCCTCCTTTTCCAGGGCTTGGGACTGGCTATGCAACATAGGTGGAGTTAACTTACCTAACTTCCTTAATTTAATCAAATTAGTTAAATAGGTTTTATATTAAGAATTGGAGGAGTATTTAATAGTCGTTAGATTTTAGATTTAAATGGATTAGTCAATGAAATGTCAATTAGCAAGCATTGCCAACCTTGAGGCTTGGGGGGCTTTTTTGTTTTTCTGCACATAGATATCTTTTTATTGGAGATAATCTTATTCGAGATACTGTCGGGCGCTAAATATAAGTATATCTTTCAATGAGGATGCAAATTTTGATTCGCCATGTAGTGAGGGACTTGCTTCTTCCGTGAGACTCAATCCTAATTAGTTTGGGGGGAATCAGTAAATGAGGTTTTTTTTAAAAAAATTTTTTTTGATAGAATGAAAAGTAGAATACAAAAGGAAATGGAATAGGAATTTGGCTTTAAAAAATGACACTTTATTCAGCAAGCGTAAGGTTAAAAAATGAAAATTGAATGCTTTCTTTTTTCTTTTTTCTAGAAGAATCAAAATGCAATAGAATACTAAAAACAAGATCAAGTCATGGTACATAAAAATAATGGACAAGAGTTAAGTAATATAAGATCTTTAATTTTGTCCTATGTACTAATTTAACATGAGATTAAAAAAAAGTAAGAGGGAAAGAAATATCTTGATGTAAAATGTTAGCTGAAAGCTTGTTGGCACCATATTTCGGAATGAATTGGTTTTTTTTTTTTTTTAGGATTGCATGCTTTTTTAAATGAAGTTTGATAAGATACTAGCTCAAAACGAGTAAGAATAATAAATTATCCATTAATATAAATATAAAATCTATGTAATGTTACCACCAAAATAAAAACAAAATTAGAGTCGTATTATTAATTAACAAGAGAGATAGCTAAATTATCAAGGGTATTTGTGAAAATCAAACATTAATGATTCACTAATTTTTGCGAGATTTCTTTATCTATTTTAGATTGTAAAAAATAAAGAAATCTCATAAAAATTGTAAAACATTGGGAGATTTCTTTATTAAATAAGAAATATTCTAAACTGCATATAAAAATCAGCAATATACTACTCCGTCCCTTATTATAAGATCTTTTTAACTAAATTGCACGGTTTAAGAAAACAGTTAAAATTAGTTAAAAACAATTAATACATAGCAAATGTAATTTTTTTTAAATATACCCCTATATATAAATGAGAGATGTGAGAGAGTAATAGTGAGATAAATAAAGAAAGAGAATGTATTAAATGCATTAAACTAGAAGTAAAATAGATAATAATACATTAAATATTTATACAAACTCAAAAAAGATCTTATAAAAAGAGACAACCTTATTCAAAAAATTAGATCTTATAATAAAAAACGAAGGGAGTACATTGGTTTTAGTATAGTGAGGGGGGCTTAGGCCGCTTATAGAAGAGGCTTAGGCCACTTAAAGCACAAAGTCTCGAAGTTAAGTTTGATTTTCTAAAACGCTTTTTGGAGACTTATTCACAATTGACCCTCACAGTACTTCTTCGATCCTTAATATAGAACCCAATTATTGAGTTATTTTTTGTCCTAAATATAAAATCCATTTCTCATTTTTATCAATTTTCTCTAGATTACCTCTATAAATGCTCCCTTAATTATAATCAAGTAAAAGATAGAGATGGGATATTAAGAAAGATGATTATAGTATTTTAGGAAAAATGTGTCACATTTTTTATAATTAACTAATTGATCTAGCTTTCTTAATCTAATCAAATTAGTTAAATGGGTCTTACATTAAGGATTGAAGGAGTATTTGAATCCAATCCTATCATATAGCCATATTAAATTTTAAAAAAAGGTAAAATATTCTGACTACTCTTCTAGTTTGTATTAATTACAAAGACTTCTCTTCTCTTTTTTTTTGGTCATAAGACTTCTCTTCTATTTTAAAAACATACAATTTAATGCAATTATTTAACATCATTAGGAATATTCTAAAAATATTCTAAAAATATTATTTTTGACTAAAATTTATATTAAAATAAATTTTATTTACTATTTTATCCCTCATTCTAATAAATTTCTAAATTATATTTTTATAGTTACCTCAATTTCATTCAGTTAAGATAAACATCAAGGATTCGATTAAAAATTTAACTAATTTTTTAATAAATATATATACTTGATTAAATATGTTTATAAATTTTTGTTACAAAGATGTGTTTAAAGGTTTAGAATTATAAATTTAAATAATTTATAAAATCTTTTAAATTTGTATCATTTAAACTTTATGATAAACAAAAACTATGTATTTGAAATATGTTTTTACAATTTAAAAAAATCAAAATAAATAATTTCTAAGGAACATGATAAAATATTAGAATTATAAAATGTTATGATTTAAATCAAAATTAATAAATTTTATAACATCTTAGAAATTTTAAAAACAATTATTTTTTATTTTATAAAAACAATTTTTGGAAAATATAAATGTCTAAATAATTATTAAGTTGAAAAGGGGTATTTTGGCAAAAAAAATAATTTAAAATCAAACTTAAAGGTCAATTAATGTTTTGGTGGATGAAAATAAAATCTTAAATATGAAAAGGAGGTTTATGTAATATATGTTTTAATTGTATGGAAGGTTTATATATGTTTTTAAAATAAAAAGGAGGTTTGGGTAATTGAGAAAAAATAAAAAAGTGATCGCTGTATTTTACTCTAAAGACAATTAAGATTAACTATTAATACCAACTATTAAATATGAAATTATTATAACCACCAGGCTTAAAACACAGTTGGCATTTAGCTTGTTTTCTTAAGCATTTAGTTAAGAGTTTAACCCTTGCTGGTGTGTATGGAGAGGGTCCCGTGGCCAACATTAAAGTCATTTCGTGAAGTCCACGATGTGAAGGGATCAGTCACTACTATCAGCAATAGACACCCTGTGTTCACCCAAAAAAAAAAGTAACATGATTATATTATAAAAGGTATCTATTATATATTAGTGATTTATTAAAATGTGCATATAATTTAAGCTCTAATGTTACGCTTCAGGAAACAGGATCTTAATAGGGATATCAAAGTTCCCGGCAAGAGCAATCATGGCATACGAAAATACTCTTCCAATCCTTAATATAAGACATAATTATTGAGTTAATTTTGATTCTAAATATAAGATCTATTTTCCATATTTGTCAATTTTTTCTAAATTATCCCTATGAATCTCCCTCAACCATAATCAAATAGAAAAGAAATAGAGGATGTTAAAAAAGATGATTATGGTGTTTTAGAAAAAATATGTCATATTTCTTATAATTAACTAACTTACCTAACTTCCTTAATCCAATCAAATTAGTTAAATAGGACTTATATTAAGGATCGGAAGAGTATAATAAGATTAATTCATAGAAATTTCAAGTCGTAATAACTTATTGCATAGAGATGATCGAGACATCCATATGGAAATTTGATCAACTAAACATTTCTATATGTCTCTGTCATACTCTTTTTTTTTTCTTTTTGTGAACATATCTCTGTAATATTCTTGTAAATTTCATGGTGTCACATCCCGAGAACAAGTCTTCGTTCTCATAATACTCTATTTACTCACAAGTCAATATGCGAATTTAGAATAAATAACGCTCTAAAAAAAGTATTTATCAAAATGAAAATCTTTTATTGATATGTTAACACTTGGTTGTAATTAAGTTGCAGGGCAACATCTTGCATTCGCATTAAGGGTATTTTAGATTTTTATATCGGAAGATATTTTCATTTTCAGTCTTGTGAGCCTGCAAGAACATATTAAATTAAATACACTTAAAATTTTGTAATTTGTCTTATGAATAGAAACAAATCATCCTCCAAAATTGGGTCCTATCAATAAAAATGGAGGGAGTATTTTTGCTACAAATTTAATTACGTTAACTATCTTAAACTAATTTTTTTGATTTGTGGGAGGTAGTAGATTGAATTACTTAATATATATTTGAGAGGAGATCATAAATAAATAAATATATTTATATAATGCGCACATGGAAACAACTGGACTAACAACATATATGGTCTTTGTTTAATGATGTGAAAATTCTTCGTCTTCCATTAGTTGCAAAAGGTCCTCGCTTTTGTTTATTTTATCTTTTCACAAGCCATTCTGGCGTTTATTATAATATATTTAGAGAATTTTTAATGGATATGGGAATACGCTTTATTCAAAAGCAGAATTTAATTTGTTGACGAATTCTACTCCATTCATATATGATCAAAGACTAACATATTAAATTAATTATTTGCAGTTGGCAGCATTATAAATAAAATTACCAGTAAATTTCAGTGATGGAAACATATATAGAATTTTTTTGCAGCAGAAGTAACGTGCGTGCAGGGATTTTAATGAATTGGTCCCCAAAAAGACCAAGAAAAAATTTGCATATAATTTCATCGTAAGCTTCAAGGCATATTTTAATTTATTCACATTATTTTTC